CTTGCCGCAAGGGACGTTTCACCAGCGGCGAGGAGCGAGGAGCTCGAGAGGCGACTGTTTGCTCAGAGCATGCACGCAAAAGCTGCACATTTAATTTTTTTTTTTGTCAACACGCTAAGAGCGAAGTTTTTTTTCTTGTTTCAGGTGGTACATTTATTATCTGGGACAGAATTTTTGGTTAGTTGTTACTTTGCTTGAATTTCGATTTGATCATGATACACCCTTGGACCCAAAAAAGAAAAAAAATTACAATTAAATCGCCAAGGCCCTTTGTTGATTCGCACATTGTTGTTGTTGTTTTTGATAGGAACATTTCAGGCGGAAACCGATGAAGAAATTGCCTATGGCTTGGTTCATCCACTCGCGAGCTGGGACCCTATTTGGACGCAGGTTAGAATCAAGAGATTCCCCGCCCGCCATGACCTTATTTTTCAGTTTAACAAGGTAACCGTTTAAACGAAATTATCCTTCACAGCTTTGCCACTTCTCTCATATTTGGAAAACTTTTTGGGAGACCTCAGGAGTTACGAACAAGGTAAAAAACCCTTTTAACGATCTTATGGTTGCGCAAAGCCTTTACTTGTCTTTCGTATGAGTATCTTTAATTCATTTTTCTTTTCCGTGGAGGCTTCCATTCCAATGAGTAATTTTCGCTCGAACAGCTTCTGGCGCATATAAAACATTCATTTAATTTGCTTTTTTTTAAAGTCTACATTTGTTACTAGATAGTAAATAATTGTAACAACTGCAGAGGAAAACCGTTATTTACGTAAAAATATCAGAAGGGAAACTAATTCTCGTGTCCATTACTTATATTTTATTTTAGTTGTTTGTAATATTCAAAGGTCCTGGATGGACACCAGGCAGCCCTCGTTTGGGTGATCCAGCAGATCTACCAGAGGTAACAAAGCAGTCACTTGTTTGGCATCCGGTTGTTACATTATTATGACCAGTTTCTTTTTTCGCTGCTTTATTCCTTAGATTGAATATCCCATTCGGAAATACGACAATTCATTATCCCTCTGTGGTACATTGTACGCCCTTGTACACTTTGCTGTCGCCATTGTTGCTTATCAGCTGCTGATAGCCAGGAGGATGGTAAGGTTATTATTGGTCGGTTATAAATGTTTAAAAAATTAACTCCATGTTAGTTGAACCAGGGGCCAATTCTTTGCCGGTTTTTTTTTCGCGGAAACGTCCCTTCCGCTATGGCATCTCTCATAAACGATTAAATACCGTAAACTGCGGCTCATAAATCTTCCCCACTTCTGAGCCCTCCCAATTATAGGCCCGTATCTGGATGTAAAGAAAAAAATGCACCCTATTATAAGCCACTCGGATATAAGCCCCCCTCTAACTGTAATTATAACCCCCTCTAAACTGGATTTATTGTGACGTTTTCAAGCTTAAAGCTTAAGTTCATGTTTTAAGCCGGCTTCCCGGTGTTTGAAGCATAATTTTAAAAAAATAATAATAATGAACGTTAACGCAAAACGTATTTTGATCAGTACTGCCCTTCTGCTGAGAAGTACTGCTGCAAATGAAATAGCTTGCTTCGAAGCACTTTTTCCAACCCCTTACGTATTTGTATAAACCCAGGAATTATAAGCGGCAGTTAAAGGTATGTTATAAGAAATCTGAGATTTGTACTGTTTGTCTCTACTGTAGCATGAGCCAATAAAAAACATTTTATTTCCCAGGGGATGACTCAACTTCATGTTGCTGGAGTAATATCGTACTTTCTCTTCACGATGTCAAGTGTTGGAGCTCTTTTTGATAACAAGTAAGAATTTTTAAATTACAGTCGAATTCCGTTACAACCGTGTTACTATGGACATGTCGGGATGTAGATATGTAATGTGACGTAACATTTTTTCACCAGGTGGTATGCACCATACGTAGAGTTATTTCGCTGCCTTCTCTTCCTGATTGTTGATCTTGTTCTGTCATCACAAAATCTCGACACTGGAGGTAAGTCATAAGTATTACCTAATGATCAAACCTCTGCTTGTACTTCCCCCAAAAAGTCGGACATTTCAGCGATACAACGTCAATCAGCCTTTTTCGTAGACCAGCACTCGTGTCTCCTGCGTTATTTCGAAAATTTAAACGGTGTGGTGATGCTGTCGAGAGAGTTCATAGCGAGTATTTCAAGCCAAACATATTTTTTAAACGTTAGGCAGGCCTAAAAGCGGAGCTCTAGTTAAATACTACTCGTCCACATAACACAAAAAATCTTTGAACCTTCTCAAGGAATTCGCCAATCTTCTTGGACGAGTATCTTGCCGTCGTGTAGTTAACGAGTTGCCGTATAAGATAGTAATGAAATGGTTTCTTTTCAAATTTTGCATGTTCTTGTCGTGGAAATTAACCGAAATGTCGCGATATATCGACTAAATTGCTTTATATGGTTGTTTTAAAAAAGAAACACAGACGCACTTGTAGCCTTCTAGCTGGCGGTATTGTTGCCGCCAGTACTTTTTTTTGCCGGCAATACAGGGGAAGGAGACTTCTTTCGGGGCCGAAAACGATTAGCAGCTACTCTGTTTGCCCTTTGCATAAGCTACACGCACATGTAGAAGAAGAAATAACTTTTGTATAATTTTTTAACCGTTGTTTTTATTATTGTTTCAGTACTTCCTACAAAATACATCGGTGTGATCAGAGGGATTTTTATTACATCCGCTCTTTTCTGGATAACGGGATCATTTATGTCCGCGAAAAAAACGAAGACTGAATGAACATGGCGTCAAGTGTCCTTCTAAATACCAGCAACCCTAATGGCCATGTTTCCTCTGGTCGCCGTCACCAAAACACTCTTCAAGTCGTTAACTAAATCAAAATGATAAAGAGGAACTATGGGCCGGAGTATCAGATTAAGAAAACTGGATGCTGTTGTCCCAGCAAAGTGAAATACAAAAGCAAAGCCCAAAGACATTTTATTATGCCCCCAAAATACCTTGTTAGGAGATAAATTATAAAATACAGGTTGCCCAGTCTACAGCCACGTGGAACGATTGGTTTTCTTGGTTACACTGTGACTGCTTTTTGGCATGTGACTTAAATTGTTGCTGGACGACAATTCTGGGTAAATGGAGAAGTAAAAAATTAGGCATCTTTCTTCACGGAAGGAATTAGAGCAGCATACTTTTTAACATTTTTAGCTTTCTGAAACTTCTTTAAGTAGTGGCTTTCTAATTTTTATTAGTAATATCAACGATCTTTTGTAGGTTTTTTGCTTTTTTTTTGCTAAATCCATAATTATATCAAGCGCTAAATGTGTAGCGTATTTGCACTTGTAAGCAGGCTTAGAAGAAAAATTAATTCCATTAGAGAAAATTACACGCTTTACAAATAAATATTATAAATATGATGTTGACTTCGATTTTTTCGTCGGACCTCTCAGTCGTCGTGAATTCAGTTTTTCGGAAAGGGAAACCGGTGGACCGTCATAGAGGTGACAATCAGGCTACTGTGATTATTATTCAGTGGCAAGAGTGAAAGCCCTGCGATTTTCGCTCTATGTTCCGCTTGCACAGCTCGACTCGCGAGCATGCCGTTAACCTGAGATTAGGCGTTATTATTTTTTTTTTGTTTCTTTCGCTCGGATTACGGAGATAAAGAGAGAGGGCATGATCGCAGGCTAGCAACAACAAGAACATCAACAACAACAATCTTTACGTGTACTCACTCTTGCTCAAAAATAAATTACAATAATGAAAATATTAAAAGTAAAAATTAGAGTACTGGCTGCCTGGAATGTATGCAGCCGTGTGCGGCGTTTTTTATGTGTGTAAATATTATACTATTATATTTTACGGAAATGATACCCTTTACTCGTAAAGTATGTTGCCTAGCTGAGTTTGCAGCCCTTTTAAATTCGCATCGCTTGTGAACACTGTAACGTTTTGCCTCTCCGAATTTTAGTTCAGAGATAGCACATCTGGTAACTTTGATCTAAACTGCGTAAAATTTTGCCGCTCTCTTCAAGTATCTTTGAAATTATGGGACGTTTGGTACTACAGCCCTGGTAAGTTGCTCATTTTCCGGCCATGAATTATAAACATACTTTCTTTAAAAACACCAACTTTCTTTTTTAAATTACAGCACAGTAAGCCAAAGATATTTTAAAAATCATTGAAACATACAATATGTAAAGAAATTAAGACGATATTGAAAGCTTGCTGAAACTCGCTTTTCCTTCTCGCCATGTGTTTGTCCCTTAGCTGACTCCGAAAAAGCCGAAAATCTGGGTACCTTCCAGTTCAAAGTCATTCAATAGTGCAACTGAAAATCACTTTTCAGTACAACAGGGACAACTGAAAAGGGATTTTTTTATTCAAGAGGGTTGGGAGTGAGGCTGAAATAAACTGAAGGTCAGTATGAATTTGAGAAAGAAAGTTCCCAACTGAAAGAAAACAACACTCTCTTCCAATCTAATGCTTCAAGTTTAGTGTGGCGTGACCTGATCAATTCGGTCTAAGATTTAGTAATAAAAAGTTCAACTTGTTTTGCAACATTGCTGAAAAAACGAGAATAGCGATGTTGCGCGTTTTTCCACCAACGTTCGAACTTGTCTGGCAACAAATCAGGTTGCAAGCTTTTTTCTTCGTGGGTGGTAGCATTATTCAACTCGTTTTGCTGCAATGTTGCCAAAGAAGTTGTACGTTTTTTGTTGGCCGTTTTTCCGTACCTTAAAGATTATTTGACATTTACTTCCTCGCAGCTAGAGAGTTAATGGCCCCTCCCTATACCAAAATGTTGGACAGTGATTGTGCCAAAAAAAGACAAACAAACAGATACAACCACAAACGATGTCCAGAGAAACGTTTCAGATATGTCACGGTGTTCAACGATCAAGAGGAGACATTCATTCTCTACTTCTCTAAGTTGAACGGCCTATTTTTTCATATCTCAGTACTGGTTCGAGTTTATAACGCGACACAGTTAAATAAAAAAGCTGAAGAAGCTGCGATTTAGCTTGATGTTCATTGGCTATCATGGATAACACGGTAGGCTCAAACCTTCGATGCAGTTAGTGTTATTTTCGATATTAAACTTTTCTCTTGATCAGCACTTTATTATCGCCACCAGATTTGAATGAGAATATTTTTACTGCTTCGATATTCCATTGAATGTTCACAAAGTCGATGATAGTTTGCATGTAACTGGTTTATATACAATACCTATGATAAATCGGAATAACATCACGTTTATTGCATTCGCCGACACTAGTGTAACAGTATTGATCCACTGGCTTCAACTCGGCGCTTTTACTTATTGTGATTTTTGTATATAATTTTTTTTCAAGAATCTTAATTTTCTACGAACCTCTATTCTCATACCACAAATAAAAAACTCTGATTACTGTTAATGCAACGATTTTTTTTATTATTTCCTACTTCCCTTCACACTGTTTCAGCCATTGCTTGGCAATGTCACATTGTTGCAAGGCTCACGGAGATTTTTCTTCGCTGTGACTCCGAAAGAAACATCTTTTTCAAAGCCTGGAGATGTACCCGACTATCTAAATGAAGTAAGCACTCTTAGTTTAACTGTGCTATAATACTGAATTGTTTTTACATTGCAAAAATAATCAGTGAACCTGAGGGCAATTGTTAAAGTGGAATTTGGAATAACAGAAAGCAAAAATGAATAAAGGGGAGAGCGGTTGAAGGAAAAGGCAGTGGAAATTGCAGACATAGAGCAAAGGTGGCGTAGTGATGAGAGCACTCGCCTCCCACCAATGTAGCCTTAATTGAAATCCCGTTCTTGATCGATAGATTGATTTTTGTTGAGTTTGTGTTTGGTTCTCTCCCTCAGTCAATGCTCTGAGAGTTTTTTCTCCTGTTTTCCCCTCTCCTCAAAAACCAGCATCCAAATTCCAATTCGACCAGGAATCGGATAGACGAAAAAACCACTTATAGTGGATGTGCTACCTCTAAATCGTTATTATTTATTTTATTCATATTCACACCCTATATTTTTTGTCGATCCCCTCTAACCAAAGAAAGTGTTGAAGTGAATATAGTAACTGGACAGAAGAAATTTGATACAGTCAGGCCATTTCCCTAATCACGCTCTTGTTGTGTATCTAATGTTCATTTTGTCTTTAGGCTGTCCCATTTTTCTTGGGTGCCATAGCGCTTGAGTACATTTTAGCTTTCCTTGCTGATCTTCCAAGAGCAAGGTTAAATGATGCATTCAGTTCAGTGTCTGCTAGGGTTTACTCTCAGTTGTCCAGGTAAGTAAACATTAATCGAATTTTGTGTCTATATGTGCAAAATCATTAATAATTACTTTAATTTTTGAGTACCCTAATGCATCAATCAATTCCAGCTGCGCCCAGCCCCTAGGCTATTGCGGGGAATTGCCCGCCTTGTCTTTCCCCAGGGGTAGGACATTAGCAAATTTTCGCTGCCCGGGAATCGGGCATTTACCAACCCCGGGGCCACCCCCTAGCTTTTGACACGTACGTGGTTTCCTATCCGAATATAACTACACAGAGGATTTTACTGGAAAAATAAGCATATTGGCTCATCTGTCAAGGACAGAAAAAAAATTGAGGAGGGTTGTAAAGGCATGTTCTCGATTTTATGCATGCATTTCTTCATTGCTTATCAAGCCAGAATTACTTAGCGAAATTGGGAGCTATGGACATAAATCAACGTTTTTTTGGTTATTGAATCAGATTTCTGTTGATTGTATTTGAAGAACATCCTTTTATAATTATACAACGAGCGGAGCAGAGCGGATAACTTTACAGAACACTATTAATTTTAATGTCAATAATTTTATAACAGTACTAAAACCATAAACTGGTGTCGTTGCGGCGTGAAAACCTAATCTGAATAGCGTTATTACAAAGGTAGACGTTAATTAACACAAAAAAATCGAACATTGAAATGCTTAAGATGGCATTACTCGACTGTTCGATCATTGAAATTGTTGCAGTTTTGATGGAGGACGGGGCATTCGAATTAATTTTTCTTCCCCACTTATTATCTACAATTGATCTGAATCTGATTTAATTTATAACTTATTACCAGAAAACATGTTAGAGTATACAGGATGTCGTGTAAAAATGTCTTTTCTTTCTGCTCTACAACCTTCGAGAAATGTGATTTTTTTTCCAGGATAATTGTGTTGAGTGCTGAGCTTGCTCTATATGTTTTTGTTTATGATAATTTTCATCTGGTGACTTTGCCTTGGGATTCCCCATGGACCTGGTACTTTTGTCTTTTTGGAGTGGATTTTTTCTATTACTGGTTCCATAGGGCTGCTCATGGTAGGTTTATAAATATGTTGATAAAAAAGCAAATTATATAATATTATTCACACCTTGTTTCATCTGCCATAACCATTACAATTTCCTCAATTTTCATTGGTGCATTAACTGCTTTATTTTTCACTAATTATTCTGTAGTGTTGTAATCGAACAGTGTCATACAGTTACATTAGCCAATCACATTAAGTGCACTCAGCTAAATCCACCAATGACAGAATTTATTACAATAACCATAGCAAGAACCACTTACGCTACCAAACTGGTGATTCTCCAAAATTGATGAATTTGTAACATTAGGCAGTTTCTCTGCCAGTGATATTTCCCTAGTTGTGGATGATTGATATTAAAAGCAGTTTCACATTAAAAAAATGCATTTGTTTTCTCGGAAATTGTAATGGTTATGATCAACAAAGCAGACTCCCGCTACTTGGTCGTCCAATTTTGTTAATCATTCGTATGATCAGACCGAATTACAGACCGACCAATTCGGTCTGTAATGATACGAATGACTGAGGTAAAATTTTAATCAATCACGAGTATGATTACAGACGGAATTGGACAACACAAAGTACTGGTACCAATTAATCATAACTGCAACGAAAATTTTTGATATTTTAAGCTCTTTGAGACTGAAATACAAGACATTCTGAGAGTTCTAACTAGAAATTAATAATATAATGATAGTAATAATAGTAAAAAAACATCAAGTGCACGCGCAATGGCGCGTACTGTCCTATCTGAAAATGTCCTAATAATGCTGAAATCAGGGCAGCTGATAACCAATCAGATTTGAGAATAATGTTAAAGTTATGATTAAAGACCTAATAGAACATAATCTGCCACAGAAATCAACATCCTGTGGGCAGCTCATCAAGTGCATCATAGTTCAGAGGATTACAACCTTACGACTGCTTTGCGACAATCCGTTGTACAACAGTACATAACTTCGGTAAGTCTTTTATCAGGGGACATTCGGGGGACGCAAGGATGAAGTTAAAACTAGAGCACTGACCAGTCCACCTTTAAACTGACCCGGATTATTTTACATCATGTGTGAATAATGTATATATTTGCATTCGAGGTTACCACTGTCATATACGCCTTATCGTTTCATAACTTCTCCTCTCCTAGATAAATTTAGCTGCAAAGCCAGTGCACTGTACTGAAACATGGCAAATAAAATGATGATGATGATGATGAGAATGATGAGAAGACTATAAAAGGCTGCTTTATGCATTATTTCTGCTAATGTGGAGCTAAAATGTCTAGGCAAACAAATTAACAGAGTAGACATTAATTTTAATATAGTTTGGTTGAACGTTCAAGCCAAAGTATACTAAAATTAATGTCTACTCTGTTTTTCTGTTGGACGTACACAAAGCAACATTTTGGAAACAAATTTTAAAGGTGGATAATTTTCCCTTCGCTTGCAGATTTTTTACGTGCCTTTGGCCTTAGCAGTCCCTCCATCTATTTTCTGGGTTCATGTTCAGTTCAACCTTCTTTATCAGTTCTGGATTCACACAGAGATTGTGCGATGTCTTGGACCTCTTGAATACATCTTTAACACCCCAAGTCATCATCGGGTTCACCATGGTAATTTAAAACTTTGTCTGATAGGTCAAAAATTGCGTCCTTAAACTAAATTTATTAATTTAACGGGCCGTTTCTGTATAGATCTGTATTTTTTATTGTTTGTTTGTTTGTTTGTTTATTTTCTAGGAAGAAACCCGTACTGTATTGACAAAAACTATGGTAAGCGAGTTTGGGAACAGTGTAGGACCTTTGTCCTCACGTGGAGGAAACTCGAGACAAAATCCAACAATATTTTAGACAACTCTTTCCAAAGTAACTCGCTTTATCAAAACGCTGACTTCATTTTCTTTTTTATTGTCTTTGTGCTTTTGAAATATGTGAACTGTCATCAATAACATGACGCTTTCTTGCTCCAGGAGGAACATTCATCATCTGGGACAGAATTTTTGGTACGTTGGCAGTTTTATTGAAGTTCGATTTGGGGCGGAACTCTTTAGCTTAAAGAATGTAGCGTCGTTTCCAGTAACCTACCAGACGAGATAGCTCCTCTTAGCCTGACTTTGTTTGCAATCTTTAACAACTACCAACCATTGAATATATAGACTAAGTTATCTTATGTGAGTTCCCTGCTAGAAGAGGCATCTTTTCCGTGGTATATGGCTGGCGGGACTCTCAGTCTCATTTTCTACCGCCCACCGAATAACAGGGAAAAGAGACCTCTGCCAGAGGGGAAAATGGGGAGCCAAATGAACCGCCAAATAATAGACTCATGTACAGTCTTTGTGAGTCCCTGTCTCCTAAGTTCCAAGAGACAACACGGACATTTAATTCAAGATGCACTCTGTAAAAGCGCGTACTTGGCTCGTCAAAACGATGCCAGCTCCAACCTCGTTTTCAGGGTTTTCTCCTACCCGTAAGGAACCTGTAAAGCTTCCACAGTAATATTTTTTGTGCTAAATTCAGGTACATATATTTTAATAGGAACATTTCAGGCAGAAACCAGTGAGAAAATAGCCTATGGCCTGGTTCATCCACTCGCCAGTTGGGATCCTATTTGGACACAGGTTAGAATCAATAGATTCCCCCCCCCCCCCCCCCCCCCCCCCCCCCCCCCCTTTTTTTTTTAAAAAAAAAAAAAAACCAAAAAAAAACAATTATCCCCCACCCCCTCCCCCCCCTCTCTTTTTTTAAAAATTTTTTTTGGGCCCCCGCGGTTTCAAAAACAAAGTGAATTTTTTTTTTTTTTTCTCCAAAAAAATAATAAAGCGTGGTTTTTTTTTTTTTTTTTTTTTTTTTTCCTTTCTCCTCTCAGCGATTTTTTTTTTTTAAAAAATTCCCCCCCCCCCCCCCGCCTGCCATGACCTTATTTTCAGTTAAAAAAAAGTAACCGTTTAAACGAAGTTATCCTTCACAGCTTTGCCACTTCTCTCATATTTGGAAAACTTTTTGGGAGACCTCAGGAGTTTCGAACAAGGTAAATCTGATTTTTTTTGCCTCACAATCAATAATATAGCCTGGACTCTTTTTTTTCGCTGTGTGTTCATCACATTCCTCTGAACGGACTTCTTTTCTGTTCACAACATTTTTCCTTTTGATTTGACTGATTAATAAATGGTAATCAAATTTTTTAATACTGATTAAAATGTTTGGAAAAGACATACCTATGACGTATCATATTACTTTGCGCAAGACATTAAATTTAGGTGGGTAAGGCGGAGTTGGATGTGCGAAGAGAAACCATGATCTCAAGCACTCTTTTATGGTCTTGTATGCTAACCCTAGATAACTAGGCAGCGAGGTGAACATGTTAGACATTTATCGTATGACATGACACTATAAAAGCCCACCTAAGCGCGACAATCAGACACGTCTTCATTCCTATTGCTTCACCACAACGGAAGAAAAGGAAGAAGAGATGTCGGTCCGTGCTAATGAACCGATTGTAGAGACTTATCTTGTCCCCTAAATAAAAAATTACGGTGAAGCGCGAGAAATGCATGTCACGAATAAGAGTCGAATAAATCGTAAGGAAGAATAGGGGAATACGACAGTTAGTGCGTCAAATTATAACCAGGATTAATAAGATCACAACTGCCAAATTCTTGGTTCGATATCCTTTCCCCGTTCTTACTTTGTTTTTTGCTAAAACACATCTTGATTCATTTTGCCGCCTTTTTAGTTGTCTGTAATATGCAAAGGTCCCGGATGGACTCCAGGTAGCCCTCGTTTGGGTGATCCAGCAGATCTACCAGAGGTAACAAAGCAGTCATTTGGCTTGTTTGGTATCTGGTTATTTAATACACTTTTACGACCATTTTTTTTCGCTGCTTTATACCTTAGATTGAATATCCCATTCAGAAATACGACAATTCATTATCATTCTGTGGTACCATGTACGTCCTTGTACACTTTGCTGCCGCCATTGTTGCTTATCAGCTTCTGATAGCCCGGAAAATGGTAAGTTTAATTTTTATTTTTGTTACAATAATACCACCAGCTGATACAAGCAGGCTATAATTACTGCAACTTCTTTAGGCACAAATGAGAAACCCAGATTTTTTTTTGTTGGTAATACAAATGTACTGTGGATTTTCAATTTGTTTTGAGAAGTGCCAGTGACAGGAGAACTGATGCTGTGTTTTCTATCTTAGGAGATGACCCAACTTCATGTTCTTGGAGTAATCTCGTACTTTCTGTACACTATCTCAAGTTTTGGAGCTCTTTTTGATAACAAGTAGGTGTAAAACAAAGATTAGATTTTCCATATATTTGTCTGTAATCTTTCCCGGGACTTTCGGGTCCGGACAATATGCGAGCCAGCGAGCTATGGGAGCCATAGGAAAAAATAGAGTTTTATGAAAAGTGTAAATGCATGAAAAATGTTTCCTGCTTAGTTCCATGGTTTTGCTGATGGAATATTTGCAGAATTACGCAGTATTGATCGACTTTCACTGATTAGGGTTAAGTGCTCATTTTACTGACTAGGGTTAAACACTTGCTTTACGGATATTTAGCGTTCAGCGCTGTTAATTGTTTAAAAAACGATGTAAAAGTACTCAAATTGCGCAGACAACCACACCAGATAACAATATTTACACTTTGTTGATAGCCTTTATCGCTTTTAGTTCATTTATTTCATCTAAGTTTCATTTCCCAAACAAACTCTTCATTTCCCATACAAACTCTCATAATACACTTGGGCCACCTGTGATCAAATGATGTCATCTTCTGCATGAAAAAGAAACCATTCCTCAACGGGATTCAACTTTTTTCCGTTTCACCTGTTGTGATCTTTAGGTGGTATGCACAATACATGGAGTTATTTCGCTGCCTTCTATTCCTGATTGTTGATCTTTTTCTGTCATCACAGAATCTCGACACTGGAGGTAAGCTGTAAACGTGTATGTCGTTCTTTTGGTCTGTGAGACTTACAGCGATACCCCCCTCATAATGTCAAAGAATAAACTGCTCGCTTTTTCCAGTGATTTTGTTACAAATAGTTATGGTGAGTCCTGGGACTCATCTTGTGAAAAATCATGATTCGCGGTCCCGAACTAATGAGTTCTAGTTGGGAAAAAGAAAAAAAAAAGAGTCCGAAATTGAAAATGCTTGGGCCTTTGTGTAACCAGACAGTTAATCTGAAGACAGACTCCAAAACTCTGTACTACAGAATACTGAAATTAAAATATAGTCGTTCTAGTTAAAGCACAACCAAGGCTAAAAGAAATATGCATCGTTGAACAACAGCCATAATTACTGCCACGGAAATTACACGAACGGGATATTTCTCTGCGGAACGCAAGCCATGAATCATTTTGCGTCATTGGGGATTTCTATGCGTCAGGGACGCAAGATGCAGAGGTAACAAAATCACTGTTTTTCTACTATCTTTCTTCGACGATTTCTTTTGTCCGTTGTTTTCGCCCGTTCCTGAAGAATTTTGTAGCGCCATTTGCCCGCTCAAACTCCGAGTGACTGCTCCTGAGTCTCTTCGAGAATGTTCATTGTTTAAGTATTTCATAATTTTGCTTGCTGATCTCTTGAAATAAGCTGCAAAATTTCGGCAGTCTTCCATTATATTTAGGAACCAAATCACGCTAACAATTTCTACCGTAATTTTAAACACAAGCGCTGTAAACTCCTTACACAGGTTTTTTAAACACACGTACATCAGTGTAAGTTTGAAAAGGAAAAACACAAAATCTTTTAATGATTTTTATGTTTTCAGTACTTCCTAGTAAATACATTGGTATGATCAGAGGCATTTTCATTGCGTCTGCTCTTTTCTGGATAACTGGATCATTTATGTCCACGAAAAATACCAAGACTGAGTAAAGCGGCCACAAGAACACCATGACTGGCTGCCTCTTTAAAATGGAAATATTGATCTCTGCCAAAATGCTCTGCCTGCTGTGCTTTAGTTAAAAGCCAAGTAAAGAATAGTAGACTATAGCAACCCTACTGCATGTTTACAAGAACTCTGGTTACGGTTAAGTCGTAAACAAAGCTAGAAATAGAGGCTGTGGCATTATCAGGTACCGAAAAGCTAATTAGCAAGTGTAAAATAAAAAAATAAAAAAATAAAACAAACAAAAATAATAATAACAACAATAATAATAAAATAATAATAATAAAAAACGGGGAAGGGGAAGTGCATGCAGGGGAGGTGAGGGGAGGGTGCGTCACTATCTGGAAGCTTGGCATCACACCACTCTGCGTTAACTGAACGCCTGACTTCGCGCGTTTTGTACACCTTTGTCGGACGGAAGTACTCTCCACTTAGATTTTCTGCAAGCGCACATCTGGTATAAGTTAGTCATTTATTTTAAATATGAAGCAACACGCACGTCCAACTTATTTGCACATTTTTTATTGACCTATTCGAACAAACTCCTGTTCTGTTAAACTGGTAGAAAAACCATGATTTGTGATCGGCCTTTCTCAACTTGAGTAAAATTGGGTAAAAATAATTGCTAGCTAACACAATTATCCCGTTTACAACGATAGATTTCAAAACATGTCGTAATAATCTACACTGAAATTTAGACGAAAGAAATCATAGCCTGGAAAAACAGCCGACATTTCGTGATCCCACCACTGGTATCCCCGCAAAATAACGTCTGTGGAACGAGTGCTGAAATTCCATACTAATGACGTGTCACTACACAGATCTGGGTAGTGCTTCTGATTGGTCGTGCCGCGTGAGAGATTTGTTTCAACCTATCAGAAGCACTACCCAGAACTGGGTAATGCTTCTGAGTGGTCGTGCCCCATGGGGTTTGCTTCAACCAATCAGAAGCGATACCCATATGTGGGAAGTGACACGTCATCAGTGTGAAATTTCTGTGCTGGTTTCACGGACGTCATTTCGCGGGGAAACCAGTGTTGACGTTCAGAAATATTGGGGTTTTTTCTCAGGCTAGAGAAATCATACTTTAAAATAAAGACAAAAAATTATTTACTTAACAAATTCTATCTTTTACATTACTTATTTATCTTTAACAGCCATTTGAAAGACACTTTCAAATTGATCTTAAGATTGTTAACGACTGAAATGTTTTTTTTTCAAACGTATGTGGCCATTATTGGCCCATTGTCTTGGTACACTGTATCTCTCACATCATCACAACTAAACTCCTGCTGATATTCCCAAAAAATAACCTCTTCATTGACTGGGCACAAGGGTGGTTGTAGCACAGCTTTGTGCATATCGTTCTGTGATCGTAACTGTCGAAGGTTTTCTCGCCACAATTCCATGGTTTTTCTTGGATTTGGATCACTGTAATGCAGTTCCACCCAAAAGAAGGTTGCTTTCTTCTCCATGGCTTGGAGATCTTTTTCCAGTGCCATTTTCCTTAGCCCTGTCTTACTGTAAACAAAAAGTGATATATCAGTGGTTTGGAACTTAAAAGCTCAGAACAGTTTCAGAAAATAGCAAAATTGTTTTCCCTGTACAGTTAAAATACGAGGAGCAGCCAAGTTTTGTTCGGATTAATAAAACAATTTTTAGATTGTTTACAGTCCCGCATTTTTACGTAAGATCGTTGAGATCGAGGGCTTTAACGGGCGCCCATCTTAGTTTCAGGTGTAAGTGCAACCTAAATCTACCTGGGGGGTGGGGGGGGGGAGGGGTCTAGTAACAGTCCCAGAAGTCTTTGCGAAAGTTAACTTGACCAAGGTTTCTTCTTGTTTTCTAAAAAGTAGCGAATGGATTCTCTACCTAATGTTGTTATAGAAACCTGTACTGTAAATAGTTGAGTTCGAGTAAAACTTCAACTTACATGATCTCGGCTAGTGTAACTTGGCGATGCTTCAATGCTAGATTTAGTTCATTCTCAACACATTGTACTCGTTCCATCAGTCGACCTCTTTTGTCTCTCATCGCCTTTTCTCGCTCTTCTGCTAATTGCTGTTTCTTACGGCATCCCTCAATGATCTGCCTGAAAAAAAAGCCCTTTATTTGAGTATTTAGCACGAAAGTACTAATTGGGGGCACTTTTTTGACGTCCCCACTGGAGACGGGACCGCCATTTTACGTGGTCATCTGAGCCACGCGAAGGTCCAGCCGCTTGCAGTGCAAAGGAAGTACCTTCATTTCTCAGTTATTTCAAGACCTTGATTATTAGTCCGGCCACGGGAATGGAACCCGCGACCTCCCGCTCTGCAGTCAAGCTCTCTACCGACTGAGCTAATCCTGCCGCGGTTAAAAATAGAAAAAAAAAGTGCATTTTTGTTACTGTTTTTTAGTCCACGTAGTCTTCGGTGGATATACAAATTACTATATTTTGACAACCCAAGCCCCGAAGTCGGTGTAAAATACATAGAAACTTGAACGGAACACCGAATGGGATATAGACATTATTCCTCGATAAAAAAAAAGTATTCGTAAATTGAAACACTTACCTTGTAGTTTCAATCTTCTCCTCCATTACACTGATAGTTGCATGCATGCGGCTGAGTTCTTTCTTCATCTGTTTCCTGTTCCAACACAAAAACAACGGCGATGAAAATTAAAATCGCATCAAAAGGTTGATAAAGAAGGATCATGAAAAATACTTACGACGACTTTTCTCTCCTTTTGCTGTTGCCAAAACAGTTCAAACTTCTTATGAATCTACGAATACCCATATTCGAAAATCTTGAAATAAATAGCAAACGGAAAACACCCACGAGGGCTTGACACAGGTTTTGTCCTTTAAGACTGTTCAAGTCCAGTTCCGATTGTGACGCCATAAAAGTGAGTACGCGCGCATCTGCACTCACGAGTGCGCGCACATTTCTGTACGCGCGCTTCAATGTGCATCGACACACATTCGCCTGAATTAAAATTTAAATCATGGCCTTGTATTCCCTTTGTTGTGAATGCATTAAGGTGACTCGACCCAGTTTTTTTTGGGGGGATACCATCCTACTTTGAGGCTCTCTGGTATCCCCACCTTTACTTTTATCGTAAGTCTAACACATAGAATGGATAACATATAGATCAATCTACAATATAACATAAAATTTTTGGCTTCTCCATGGCTTGGAGATCTTTTTCCAGTGCCATTTTCCTTAGCCCTGTCTTACTGTAAACAAAAAGTGATATATCAGTGGTTTGGAACTTAAAAGCTCAGAACAGTTTCAGAAAATAGCAAAATTGTTTTTCCACTACAGATAAAATGCAAGGAGCAGCCAAGTTTTGTTCGGATTAATAAAACAATTTTTAGATTGTTTACAGTCCCCTATTTTTACGTAAGATCGTTGAGATCGAGGGCTTTAACGGGCGCCCATCTTGGTTTCAGGTGTAAGTGCAACCTAAATCTACCTGGGGGGTGGGGGGCTAGTAACAGTCCCAGAAGTCTTTGCGAAAGTTAACTTGACCAAGGTTTCTTCTTGTTTTCTAAAAAGTAGCGAGTGGATTCTCTACCTAATGTTGTTATAGAAACCTGTACTGTAAATAGTTGAGTTCGAGTAAAATTTCAACTTACATGATCTCGGCTAGTGTAACTTGGCGATGCTTCAATGCTAGATTTAGTTCATTCTCAACACATTGTACTCTTTCCATCAGTCGACCTCTTTTGTCTCTCATCGCCTTTTCTCGCTCTTCTGCTAATTGCTGTTTCTTACGGCATCCCTCAATGATCTGCCTGAAAAAAAGCACTTTATTTGAGTGTCAATGTATTTAGCGCGAAAGTACTAATTGGGGGCACTTTTTTGACGTCCCCACTGGAGACGGGACCGCCATTTTACGTGGTCATCTGCGCCGCGCGAAGGTCTCGCCGCTTGCAGTGCAAAGGCAGTACCTTCATTTCTCAGTTATTTCAAGACCCTGATTATTAGTCCGGCCACGGGAATAGAACCCGCGACCTCCCGCTCTGCAGTCAAGCGCTCTACCGACTGAGCTAATCCTGCCGCGGTTAAAAATAGAAAAAAAAGTGCATTTTTGTTACTGTTTTTTCGTCCACGTATAGTCTTCGGTGGATATACAAATTACTATATTTTGACAACCCAAGCCCCGAAGTCGGTGTAATAATTTCTGACTAATAGATAGAAACTTGAACGGAACACCGAATGGGATATAGACATTATTCCTCGATAAAAAAAAAAAGTATTCGTAAACTGAAACCCTTACTTTGTAGTTTCAATTTTTTCCTCCATTACACTGATAGTTGCATGCATGCGGCTGAGTTCTTTCTTCATCTGTTTCCTGTTTCAACACAAAACAACGCCGATTAAAATTAAAATCGCATCAAAAGGTTGATAAAGAAGGATCATGAAGAATACTTACGACGACTTTTCTCTCCTTTTGCTGTTGCCAAAACAGTTCAAACTTCTCATGAATCTTCGAATCCCCATACTCGAAAATCTTGAAATAAATAGTAAACGGAAAACACCCACGAAGGCTTGACACAGGTTTTGTCCTTTAAGACTGTTCAAGTCCAGTTCCGATTGTGACGCCATAAATGTGAGCACGCGCGCGTCTGCACTCACGAGTGCGCGCACATTTCTGTACGTGCGCTTCAATGGGCATCGACACACATTCGGCTGAATTAAAATTTAAATCATGGACTTGTAAGGCGCTGTGCACTGGTAGCAGGAATGCTAGAAAGTTGAAAATACCTTGTATTCCCATTGTTGTGAATGCATTAATTCTTTACGTGGTAAAGAACGGTGCGTCTCTTGTCCCTTTCATATTTTCTGACCGTAGAATGACTTGAACTAAAGCTTTACACACGCGAAAGCCGCGAAACTGTTCTTTTTGGCAAATTTTGCGGTCTTGAACTATGAGTCAAAAATGCGCAAGATTTTCCGCAGCTTGAAGATTTGGCCGAACGGAGCGACTTTTAAATTAATGCGCAAAGGGAACCAGAGAATAGTTGCCAAAGTTAATATACATGTAGCATTTATTTCAGTCCATTTAATAACGTTTGATTTAATTATAATGTCTCGATCAAGTTTGAAATAATCATCAGCTCTTCAGTAAAAACAAAAGTAAACATAAAAAATATAAATAAAACAACTATTCCCGACCTTTAAAACAACATGCACTACATCAGTTTTTCTTAAGAATACATTGGGTGAGTTCTAAATTTGTAAAACGTTTTAAATGAAACAAACAAAGGTCATGGATAGACCAGTAAATAACGGTCGGTCGTCGGCCACTGGATTTACGGTCGTTTCGCCAACGACTTCGGTCGTTTCGCTAACGACTTCGGTCGTTTCGCTAATGTGTTCCCTAACTTACTTTCATCTTATCAATGTTTTAAAGACTGAGGTACGACTCTTCGACAGTTTAGGTGAAAAATCCTCCAAACGGAAACGACAGCCAGAAAGTAGTCACTAAAGGATTACGAAATAACGAAACTAACGAGGCTTGTTTCTTTTGAAACTTTACGGTGATGTTCTTTCTTACGTACAACATAGATGAAAACGGCCAATATTAATGAACAGTTACAGTACTAATTCATTTTTGTAACAACGTGCAATAGCGCGTATATTGCACAAAACGTCTATAACATGTTAACAAAATCAATGATTTTGCTATTTAGCCGGGTCACACCAGACAAAGGGTGGACTACATCAGTGTTCAGGACATGGTCACACTAGGATGAGACGTTCACTCTCTTGTCTGTACCCATTTGAAGAAACTGTTTTATTCCTGGTGAGAAAAAAGATGGAAAGACTATTTCAAATATTAACAGAAACTAGTGAAAACTTTTTTTTCAAAGAATTCAACCAGCTCGCAAGTGAAGCGCGAGAAAAAAGGAATAGAAGGTTTTTCTTATCACACTTGCCAGTACCCACCCCAACCCCTAAGCATTTACGGACAATAATCCCAGCGGTTTTTATTTTCGTTTACGCGCACGAGTTCTGAAGAGAGAATAGAGACACTGTGAACACTGATTAAATGTACAAAAACACGGCAAAGTTCGTTAACTTTTATAGTAAAACAAACAAAACTACCAGGAAAATAATAATAAGGGGATTGGAGATTCATCTCAGAGAGAATTGACTAGAAACAAATCATTGATCATTTTCCACTCATATCTATGCCGCCAGTTTTAGAACTGACTGTTAACGTTTAAACTCATGAAATCTTACATTACCTTGCAATTTGTCCTCTAGAGCTTGCCTCTTATTTTTTGTCATTTGCAGCTCATCTGCATATATAATATAGAAAAAAAATTCTTAGTGTGATGTACAAAAAGTCAGACAAACTGATTAAGAAACTCTTTAATAATTTATGCGAGTAGGTCACTTAAGTTTACTGTTTTAAAATTAATTACAAATCGTTTATTCTTAAATCAACATTATTTACCATTAATTATTATCTGAAGTGCATTTTGCTTTTTTAACATAATTTTATCTTTCTCCATACACACTTTATTTCACCAACTATAACTGCAGTATTCTCAAACATTTCTTTTACCAATTTCGTGTGTATGTAAGTCCTGTACATGTGCCTCGCCCCATATCTGAGTTAGTGTTTTATAACTCCTTTGCCCCAAGTGAGGGAACCCAATACAGGTACATACAGGTACTGGATTCCAGTATTGTCAGTGGAACTTGGATTCTGGATTCCTTGAGCTGTTTTCCAGATTTCCAAAGCCCACGATTCTGGATTCCACAAAAAAAATTTTCCGGGATTCCAGATTCAGCATACAAAAATTTCCCGGATTCCAGAATCTGGATTCCATTACATGGGACAAACTCCTGATAAAGACCATCCTACCCAGCAGCTAGCCTTTTATCCCACCTACATGTAACTGCCTGTCTATTAATTAATTTATATCTTGCCGCATTTATTTGATTAAACGCCACAGCATTTATAAAAGTTTTAGTGTCTCCAAAGTGGCATTTATTCAAGAGTGGCGTTTATCCAAGGGTGGTGTTTATTTCAAAATCACTTGTCTTAATCATTGACAACAATTACAATAAACCAGTTGTCAATATAATGTAAAACAGATTAAAACAGAAAGATCTTTAAAATTCTAGTGTCTGAGTCTCGCTTTTTTTGCCAAGGTAGAATCGTAATCATCTGCGTGGTATAGATTACCAAGTTTGACAGAGTTTTTTCTTATCTTGTTTTTTTCTACAGCTGGACTATTACTAATGGCATATATTATTTAACTACAATTAGATTGTAAAATAAAACTACAAAATTAGTAAACATATTAGACAAATTGATTAGGAAATAAATAATAAAAGCTAACAAAATACCTTTAAGAACTTGTATTTCTTCATCTTTAATTTTTCTGGCTTTTTTCTCTTCATCAAGTTGCTGTTTGAATTGAACTGGTGGTGGAAAATAAAAACAATGAGCTGAATATTTGCAGGTTATTGGCAAACTATAGGCCTATTATTTTCATGCCAGATAAACTGAATAGGATTTTTTTAAGGAAATATGCATGATTGAGTAACAGTTTTGCAAAAGCCCAAAAAATCACCAAAAAAAGAAACAAGAAAACAAAACAAATAGGAAACAAGCATTACATGATTTAAGACTCAGCCTATCTTGCATGTTTTCCTCAACATACAATTAAAAATGATAGAATTTGTTAAAAACATTTCTTTGGTTATCAAGGGCTGGGTCTGTCTGAATCTTTAAAAGTGTGAATACTTTAATTAAGAAAAAGAAATTGCTCTAAAAAACTGGTAAGAATGAATATCTTGGGGAGTCATTAGTGGTGTCTTGACAAGTATAACCCTTATTATGCTAGCATCATAATCAAAATACTGCACCTCAAAGCTACAAGATCTATGAATGCTCAATTGGAGGTAAAATTAATTTTGTGAATGACAGATACTTCTTCTTGATTTGTGGGGAAGTCAGAGATCTTGTGTAAAGTACATGTACTAAAAATGCTGGGGCCCACCTTTAAGATCATTAATTTTTTCCTCTGCATTCTTTCTTGCTTGTTTCTCCTCTTCAAGCTTTTCCAATAACTCATCTGAATTCACAACATGATATATAAAATTATCAAAAAAGAAGCCTGAGTAAACAGCCAACATTTGCTGTTGCCACCACTGGTTTCCACGCAAAATGACGTCTGAGAAAAGAGGGAAGAAATTCTATACTGATGACGCGGCAGTACCCAGATCTGGATAGTGATGTGTGATCAGTATGGAAGTTCTGCACTTGTTTCTCAGATATCACTTTGCAGGGAAACCAGCGGCGTTGTCTCAAAATGTCGGCTGTTTTCTCAGGCTATCAAAACATGAGCTATTGGCAAAACACATACATCATTTAAATATTAAACTATCATCTAAAACTATCAGGGCATTGTGGTACCTTATGTTCCACCAAAGTTCTCTTCATCTTGGAGCTTGATGTGTATATTAGATTTCAAAAACTATATCTCAGGGAAATAACACAGCTGCCTTAACCCTTTAGGTCCCAAGATTGATCAACATTAATTTTCTCCTCACAGTAATAATCCATGATTAAGAGAAATGGTCATCTAAGGAAACGTGCTTTGATCTTTTATGAAATTCTCTAAAATAATTCTTTAAGGAATGTATGAAGATCAGTCTGGAGAATTTTGATGTGGATATTTTTCTCAGACCTATCACCTATGTATCCCTTGCCCCACCCCTGCAATTGGGAAAGCCGATATCAAAATCCTTATCTATGATGTTCTGAAATAATATTGAATATTTGAAATAGAAGACTAAAAAAGCCGATTACTGATACACTGTTATACATACCTTTTTGACATTGTTTCTTTCCTAAAAATGTCTTGGTAAAAGCAACAAACGACTCAATGAACATCTCATCACTGCTAGGGGCCGTACAGCTGCCATCTGGCAGAGAGAGAAAAGTTATGTTATTTAAAAGAGAGGAAAGTTTTACAATCTACTTGGAAAACAAATGTTTACCTTGAAAAGTTAAATTGTTGGTACGGGATATTAACAATAATATTAATACAAAAGTTACAGACAAGGTGCTACTGTTGGTACTGTCAGAGAAGGGTGATGGGAAAGATTCATGCAGGGCTATTAGCACCAAACTTGTGCCCACCCAACCCCTCTAGGAATGGAAATTGAAATGGAATAGCAAATTGCCAATCATCAACAAAGGGTATTGCAAGTTTGCACGCGATGTCACAGAAGCCGTGTTGGTGGTCACTAACATAAGCATTTCTCTCCGCTGGGGACTCTGTTTTCATGTAAATTCTTCGAGAAAAAAAATTCTATTGTATTGACCCCCATCATGGCCGCCTGGTCACGTGGTTGCAAACCAAGAATTCTGTAGTTTATGTCCAAGAAGGAAAACGACAAGCACTACATACGTTACTGAATTTGCTATTCTTACCGGAGTTGCTCATCTTTCTTTTCTTTGCACTTTCATCAAATCCTGAGGAGCTATTAAGCGGGGATTCTCCTCGTTTTGCAGCAACTCTTAGTCTGGTCTTGCGGTCTATCGCTTCTCCCGGTGATTTCTCGCCATTTTCCTCTCCATCTTCGTCCTCCAGTGGTTCTAAAATAATTGTTTGGGTAGTTGGTTTGCAACGCCCCTGAATTTTGGGGTCAAAAATTTTAAGCAGCAGTTTTCCCGGTCTCGCTAAATGCTGAGTAATAAATTCCAACGCGTCGTCGTATGGAAGCAAACGCATGTATTCCTTGGCCATGCTCGTCGCGGTTTCAATCAAATCTTCCTCGCTTGCCGACAACATGTAACCAACTTGCCCCCACAATGTCATGAACGGGTTCAAGGAGATGCAAGAGTAATCTTTCAGAGGACTGTTGTCGTTTATACGGGCAACATCCGCCAACAGAACCAACAGGCCTTCGCGCCGTTTGAAGCACGTCCATTCTCCAAGGACAGGGCAGTTGATCGATCTCTTTCGAATCAGAGGCGATTTGGATATCGATACACTCATCTCGCCTTGGATTTAATTCCCCAGCTTCTAGTTTAGGTATCCCTTAAAACCAGATTGTTTGGTTCGGTGCGCTTGTCGATTCCTTTCCAGAGCTTCGCGAACAACCATATATTTGTGTTTTTGCGCGCGAAAGTGCAATGCCTTCTGGGGGCTTCCTGAGGTCTGTCACGCTCTGTCACGTTACTTAACTATTGTTGTAACAGCGAAAACAGAACAATATCAGCAACAACTGAACAAACAAACCAACAATCCAACATGACACACAAAAATTTCATCTTTTTCAGATGCAAGTAACGAAAACAAGGAACCTGTACTTACATTAGACATATTAGCAAAGGCGTTGTTGGGGTCGTTGTTGAGCGACTCAGGCGACTCCCGTCAACCGGAAGCTCGGCTCCTGACCGGAAATGAGACCTTTTCCTCTCTGCGGTTCTTCCTATAAATATACCTTGACTACCTAATTTGTATTGCTATTAAGTGTCTTTAATCTTAAAGAGACGATCTGCTCAAGTTGGCTAAAGCTGGCTAAAGTTGACGGGAACTGAGTTGTTATAAGCCAATGATGCAAATTTTACATAAAGTAATAAAAAGCAGTAGAAAAAGAAATGAAAGTCGTCTTTAAGTACTTTAATGGCCGCGGTTATGAATTCAGTTGTTATTATACTAAAAAACGGCGATTTTGCCATTTCTAAACGCCGCAGGGGAGACTGTATTCAGTTTTCCTTTTAGCGCAGGGAAATGAGAGTTTATTAACGGTGAAAGAAAAAACTGAATAAACAATTTTTTAAACGAAAGAACAGGTACTAGACTATAGTATTATATATTAAGATTTATATTACGGCTGAGATTTTTAGGTGAAAGGAATATTGCCTTTCACACACTTCACCACATTACACATGCATTATGCTCTCTTATCGCCACGTTATCACTCAAACGGATACCGGTTTCGCCACCTCGACGAACTCGTGCTCTCCGATTTGAACGGCATAGAAATATATATATTTATATATATTAAAAAACTTCTTTTGTATCGTAGCTCTTACTGTTTTGGAGTGAGTCCTGTATAAATTCAAAGGAACCTCAGCGGTAATTTGCATTCACATAAATCCAGAAATCAGATATGGTGGGAAATCTCTAAAGTGCTCTTCCGATAGAGGCACGCGCTCGGCCGGCAGTGTAAATAAACTTCCCTCTCCTTTCAGTGTGTTTTCTGTTATTCAGAAAATAGTCAAAACAACAGAAAAGAACAAATTGAGTAAAATAGCAGAAATAAAATAAAGCAAAATAAAATTGTTGAAAAATAAGGGGAATTGAAACCTAATATATTGCGTACATCGCGTACATAACGTATGTGCGATGGAGTGGTTATCCTCTGATCAGTTTTCTCGCGGATTCGTTCTGTTTGAGCTAGAAGCCTGCTAGATTTTGCCACGTCAAGTTTGTAAGTTCTTACAGCTATATAGTGCAACGTGTACCAAACTGTTGTGACTATTCTTAGAAGTCTGGCTGGGTTGTTTTCCTTTTATGCTTTAGAACCACAAGAAGCTCCTGCATTCTTGTCTGTCGGTAAATATGGTAAGGGTTCTTTTCTTTGCGATTTGTGCACTTGTTATAAACAGCTGTGTTTGTGCGACCACCACTGGGAGAGACAGACCAAAGCCACATGAAGAAAAGCTATCGGAAAAGGAGGGCACAGAATACGACCATGAGGCTTTCCTCGGAGACATGAAGGAAGAATACGACGACCTTCCTCCTGAAGAAGCTAAAAAGCGCTTGAGAATTCTGGTCAAACGTTTAGATACCGATAAAGATGGCTTTGTTACAGGGGAGGAGCTCACAAACTGGGTAAAAGCTGTCTTCCGCAAACGCTTGATGAATGGAATAGAAGATGATGTCAAGGCAAAAGATACCGATAAAGACGGGAAGGTGTCGTGGGACGAATACCAGAAAGAATCGTATGGCGCTGAGGAGATGGAAGATCCAGATGATGAAGAAACCAAAAAAATGCTGCAAAATGACAAAAGGCGATTCGACGTTGCGGACAAAAACAAGGACGGAGGTTTGAGTAAAGAAGAGTTTGTTAACTTCATGCATCCTGAATCATCTCCAGAAATGGGAGACGTTCATGTCATAGAAACTATTGAAGGTGAGTTCTTGGTTACAAGAAAATTTAAGATATTTTTATCCACCTTGAGAATTTTAATTTCTAAGTATTGCTGCTTCTGTAGATTACTTTTTTAAAAAAAGAAAATCGTGTCAAAACCGATTTGTTCTTGTAACAGTTTTCTTAGTTCCATGCAATCAACAAGTTAAGTCGTGATTGTTTTGCGAAATCCAATTATGCTTGAAAAATGGAATAATGCGTTATCTCATTAAATTAGCATTTGTAGCACTGGAATTCATTATACTTTCAAATCAGTGAAACAATAGTCACACATTGCACCGTTTTTGTTTTCATTTTGATTAGACGGCCTTATAGGTAAGTTTTGTTGGAATTATGCCAAGGAGTCTTTTAATAATATTATGATATTTATTAAAAATATTTTCTTTGAACAAATAAGAAAAATTAAAAATTCAGCTACTAGTGGTGAAAAAGATAGTCTGTCTCCAGTATCCATGGTTTTGTTTGGGATAAGCTAACCTTTTAAAATAATTTAATGGAAATTAAATATTTAAAGAACTTGACAGGATGTAAAATTAATATCAATATCCAATAACCTTGATATTTGATCAGCCATTTTTACTTGGGGGCTGATAAAATACATTTTTCAATTTATGACTCAAACACTTTATTTGACTTTCAGTGGGATAGCTTATTGCTATTTTTTCTATTTGCTTTGTCTTTTTTTTTCTTTCTTCCTATTTTGATCTGTAATGTTGCAAAAATTTTCAATTTTTCATTTTTAAAGATTAATTTGAGCATAACCTGATCATATGTGGTAATTACAGGGAACCAGTAAATGTTATCATGGATAGTTTAGTATTTTCCCAGTTATTAATCTAATATGTAATCCTTTCACCACCCTGTTTTTCAAGTTTCAAAAGTAACCAAGAGGGAATTTTTTTTATGTGTGTGGGGATATTTTTAGCATTTATAGCAGCTTTGGACAAGATTGGACAATTGTTACATCCCTTCTATGAAAAAGAGAAAACTTCTTTCCTAAAGAAAAGAAGCTAAACAAGCCCTGGCGTACAATAATATTACAAATATATACAGTACAACCAGCAACAAGATAGTTGAGACACTTATTCCCAACAGGCTTTTACCCAGACATTGAAAACTGACCGTCCAGAAGGCATAAAATTATAAGAGATTAAGTGGCTGGACACCCTTTCTGGCTAAAACCTTGATCCCCAATATGTTCCATATTTAACTGATACCTTCCTCTTCAAATAGGACAAAGCAAGCCTTCCCTCTCCCATTCCGTGTAAAAGGGTTTTACCATTGATCAAGTTACCTGCAGGAAAAGCTTTAGTGAAAAAGGGGTTGGGGACGGGTGCTGAGGAGCATGAAGGGGTCCAGATTGGTTTTTTTCTGCTACATACCATTATTTCATCTGTTTGATGAATGAGTCCAGTAATAATAATAAATAATGAAGGCATCCATGCAAGAAAGGCCTTAGTGAAATTTTTGGTCATTTTTTTATTTTGGTCCGATTTTCCCAATATGTTGCATGTGGACTAAGATTGATAAAAATCATATTATTCTGTATTTTTTTTTTACCAATTTCTGCTTTTTCTTCAAGAAATAACCTATGCAAAAACCTGGTCGGCGTTCTTTGCTTTCTATTGTTCAAAGCGAAATACAAAAGAAACGGTTTATTGTAGTAATGCTTACATAACTTCTGCTTGCCTTTGCAGATATTGATAATAATAAGGATGGCTATGTTAGCTTGGATGAATTCTTGGGTGATTATCGTGATCCTGATGACAATGAGGCTGAAGAACCAGAATGGGTCAAGGACGAAACAAAGAAATTTAAGGAAGAATATGACAAGAATCATGATGGAAAACTTGACAAAGATGAGGTGGGTAAATGTCTACTTTGCACTTGACTGAGCACGTGATCAAATAGGGAAACAGCTGCGATAAATACAGACTATTCAACCCTTTGTGTATGTAAAATCAGGATATTTTTCTAATTATCAATGAATCGTGTAGGTGTAGAAGGTGCGAGCTGCAAGGGGGGTCTGATGGCATGTTTCCTCAGCAAATTTTGAAATGTCGATGCTCTGAAACACCATTTCTAGTGTTCTGAGAGGACAATGTATGTCTAAAATGTACGCAAAATTGATTGTCAATTTTATGCTTATTTTTATTTGTGTGATGTCATTTTGAATTTATCCAGTTTTTGGAAGTATTTTCCAGTCAAAGCCCTTAAATGAGAACTTCGTATAAACAACCACCTCTCATAAGCGACTGCAACCACTTTTTGGCCTGACAGCTTTGACAGTTTTCCATAGTTTTAACCCCTTGTAAGCGACCACTTGACTTATGGTTTAGTATATTCGTTTCCTGTTAGTACTAGGCTACTCGGAGTATACGAAGAACCTTAAATGACAATTATAGAATATAGCATTATGAGGTCCGCTTCTTGAAAGAGACCCCTTACAGTTGGATTCTCGTAAGCAACCACCTCCTGTAGGCAACCACTAAATCTTCTCATTTTGGTTGGTCACTTATGGGTGGTTCATATGTAATAACACTACAAGTAAGTAACATATTTTACATGTAAACTTGATAGGTCAAACTTTGGATTCTTCCCGAGACTGACCAGATGATGGCCCAAGAAGAAGCACAGCATCTGATTACGTCAGCTGATGATGATAAAGATGGAAAACTTAGTGAGGAAGAGATCGTGACAAATCATGAAACATTTGTTGGAAGTGAAGCCACCGATTATGGCCGTGCTTTACCCAAACATGAAGAGCTATAGGTTTTAATGAAGGTTTTGATACTTTTATATGCAAAACTCATCTGTTTGTCCAAGATATGTTAGTAAATTATAAAATGTACTGGTAATATATACTTTCAAACTCAAAATCTTGTAATTCTAGAGAGAAATATTATTCCTAAGAGCAGTTTTTTTTCTTTGGGTACATTTAGCAAGCGTGTTTTCATTTCAAGGTCGTACGAAAATCTCTCTATTTCACTATCAACACTCATCTTCACTCTCTACTTATCATTCCCAGTCCCTCTCCCCTGTTGGCATCAATGAGGGAAATGTGTAACAGATGCATGCTGGAGAGATGCGAAGGAGGAAGATAGCCAGACCTTCTCTTTCCATCCTTCTCATCATCCTTTTTGTTGAGTGACCTCCTATTCTCTTTAGTGGCAATTTCTCTGTCACTTACAAATTATAAGAGACGACTGGGACAAGTTAGTAGTTGATTATGATCTTCTAGTAATTAGATTGGCATAGACTAAAGGCATTCTAGGAATGCATAGGTACGAACAAGAGTATGACCATCTCTTGGGATGCTGTTATTAGCTTTGTCTCTTTCACAATAGCCTCCCACACAGACTTTTTTGCGGCTTTGTCTTGCATTCTTTTTTCATTGCATTTTTTTACTGTTGTCACAATTGTTTTTCCTGCATTGTGTGACGAGCTAAGACAACGTCTGTGTTAAGGCTACCTTCACAGCTGTTTTTAGGGCTGTCACACAACCCTGGAAACAGCTGCAAAAGAGACCATAGTTTTTGTAGCTAAGCAGGAAAATTCTTGCCACTTTTGTCATGACTGTAGACCATCTTAGACAATCAGATGGGATATTTATGATATTGATAAAACTGATAGAGGGTTTTTGTTCACGTGTTTCATTGGATTCGAGTTTGAAATAAACTTCCAGGATGTTTTAAGATATGTTACCTGGTCCCCGTCTTTTTTGCAACATCGTTAATATTACACCCTAACTGATTAATGTCAGATGCAAATTATTTTTCGATAGTTTGCAACGTTTAACTCTCAAACTTGGCAAATTGTTCTCACTTCAAGGCGGAATTTCATCCGTGTCAACCGGTTTTCGCAAACTGGTCCATGTAATGTGACTGCTGTATCCAGACCCCTCCATTCACTTCGCCGTTAAATGCGTTTGTCCAGTTCTCATACCTATCACCCCTTCTTTGAAAAAAACCTGGATCCACTCCTGATTGTGATCAAGTCGTCGCTTGTGAAAACCAGGCAACTTTTAAGAACTAAGGATTTTGAAGCTAATACATATTGCATTTAAGTTTTGAGACGCGCGTAATGTAGTTTAATTGGAGGAGAAAGAAGTGTCCACTTTCGAGAATAAAATACAGCCTAATTCCTATACAAGAGGTAGGAGGATATGATCTTATATGACAGTAATAGAATGCAAATCATTGCCACATGCAAATTACCCTAAAAACATGGACCGTGTCATTATTGAGACATAATGTTAGAACTGCTTTTGACTTTGAAACTCCATACGTCATGGTTAAATCGTAAATCAGCACATCCTAATTATCTTCCAATATTCACTCAGGCCACTTAGGCATGACTACCTAATTAAAAATGCATATTTTGTTAAATGCTATTTTTAATGATTTGCTTCCATCAGTGATCCTGAAAAGTGAACTACAAATTTAATGTGGTTCAATGAAAAAAAAAACAACAACAAAGAGAAACGTGATTTCACATGTTGGGTCATTTTTATTTCTATTTTTGTAAAAAAAAAAAGAATTTAGGACCTATTTTGCTTATTTTCATACTTTCTCTTATAAATTCAAAGTCCCAACGAACTTCCACAGAGTTTGGGCCGCCTGTGGGCTAAGAAGTGTGTCTTTCCGTGCGGATCGTGTGTGGGCTCCACCACCAATATCCCGGATAATGAGCCCATGACCCTGCCCATGCTCTTGATCTACGATCTCGACCGTTATATAAATCGATGATCACTTTTAATTGCGCACACCGCCAATTATTTTCTGGAATCGATAATCTTAAAAGAGATTTCCTATTTTTGGTTATAACTAAATATAAGGGGAGCATGAACCCACCAATGTTGCCAAAATACCCCCTCCCCCTCCCCTTAAAAAACCCTTAATTTTCCCTCGAAGAGTGACAAAGGGCTTGATTATAACATCGACGTCTTATGAGTCTCAGAATCGAATATCTCAGACTTCTTTCTCTCTTCATATTTTGAAAAAAAAGTAGAAGGAAAAGATTAGGCAGAAAGGAATTAAAACTGGTCATATCATAAGTTTAAGAAAGAATGGAAGTCTTATCTTCTAATCAGTCAAATCAGATCTTAACCTTACTTATTTGTTCCATCACTGAACATGACGACGGTGTCCAACAAGAAAGCTCTTGCTACTGACACTGTACACAAATGAACCTTAGGACGGAATCCACCAGGAAATTGAGTAATTTTAATTTTCAGTCGACAAAAACCATGTTCCAGAATAATTTAAAGAATATTGCATTCTTTTTTAAAGTTTTCAAGGGCTAAAAGATGTAATTAGTCATCTGTAAAAAATAACACCAAATAACACCAAAGAAAATTTCTCATGGGAGTCCGAGAAAACAAATGTCAAATTTCACAAAAATTGTGAAACACAGGTAGAATTCTGAAAATTTAATGTGTATAAGATTTAATTTTGTAAAATTTGACATTCATTTTCTCGGGCTCCCATAAGAAATTTCCATACATATTTCTCAATCACCTTTAATCACATTGAGAGAGGAACGAAAACATCTCAAAGCAAGAGGATTGATATGAAAATGTTCAATGAACTGAAAAATGGTGACCGTGGGACAAGTGGCCAGCTGGTAATCTAAAGCAAGGGTAGACCCCAAAATTTGCAAAGAAGAAAGGTTGAAGTAACGAGATGACCAAAATAATCCGATAAAACCGCTAACAGTAACCAGCAATGAATCCAAGAAGAACGGCAAAAACAACACTCAAATCGTCATGGCGGCTTGCACATGACCGAGCAATTCGAACTTGTCACAAACGCTCAAGAAAGCAAAATATTTAAAAGTAACGTAACTACTGTCAAGATAAAGTGTTCTAACAACTTTCCACGGCCGTATAGAGTGGAAATTACCTACACAAGCTTGGAATAATGCGCAAATTTCACCATATCCACCTCGCCACCCTATTAGTAGTCCTTACATGGCCAGCTAGAAGACCTGACACTGAAATAAAGTTTATCGGGCGCTTTCCATTTAGGAAAAACAACCGGAAATTTCGGTGGGAGCAAAAAGTGGAATTTCCGATTGGTAAAAAGTTGTTCCATTTGGTCGTAAACCCCGGCACGTCGCGGTGTCCGACCGTGGACCTGGAACTGGTACAAACTACGAGAAACGTAAATGGAACACGACATTTCGTTCGGAAATTCCAACCAGGAAAACGGGCTCACCTTTTTGGATTTTCCACTTTTTCTGGGAATATTCCAGTGGGACGAACCGACGAAACGTGTGCCATTTACCGCCGAACCGGAAATTCCGAAATTTTGACTAAATGGAAAGCGCCCAAATTTTATCATCTCTTACCAACCGCGAAAATCACTCTACAAATAACGCATTCTGATTGGTCGAATCTCGTGACGCACACCACCTGCCGTGACACAGTAGTAAGTTCTTTTGAACATATGTTACATTGAGCCATTCAGAGCTGCGATTGAATGTACACTTCTAGGTCTACAAAGAATTCACAGACTAAACTTACTTTGTTTTTGTCGTAAGAACGTAGCTTTATTGACAAAATTATGGATATTCTTTGCCAAAGTCGTATAAACCATGATGAAGACTTGGTTGGCTACCCAGATGATGATCAAGGTGAAAACATCGAAAGTCAAAGAGCGCAAAACAAGAGCAGGGAAGATGGCGGTTTTGTTTTGAACGTCAACGCTTCATACATGCAAATCGGTAGGCAAAACGACATAAGTTTTGGTTCAGTGGATAAAACTTCTGACAGCAAAGTAAATGAAAGCGATGAAAGTGGTCCCGTGCTGACAGGATTTTGGAGACCAACTGGCAAATTGAGCGTCGGTCGCAGTAGAAGTGGTTTTCCTGATTGTAAATACGACCACTTAGTTCAACTGTTGGCCCGTAAGAATAAGCACACGAGAGAAGCTCTTGACATCACAGATAATTACAAAATAACCATGACGGTAACTTACCATGAAGCCAATGATAGCAGCTTTCAAATGCCCGATTATCAGTGTAAACGCCTCAAAACTGAAACCCAATGTGGTGTAAACCGATCAATGGTGGGTGTTGTTGGCTTCCTGTTTCGTTTTCACGAGCCTAACACAAAATACAAGGTCACCTGTACGTTGCTTACAACTCCACCAAAAAGGAGAGGAAAAACTAATATTGCCAGAGAAACTGACGCTTGTCAAAAACTTAGTGAAATTTCAGTCGTTTTAGAAACGGGAGAAAGATCAAAACGGAAATCAGATAAGCCCAGTGAAAAGACGGAAGTGCGTAAGGTTCCACCGTCATTTGCATTGGGACAAGCTTCTTTGTCCAAGACTAATGCAAAACTACTTGAACGATCCATTTCGGTGGTGAATCAGTTACAATCTCTCCGCAATGATGGAAAGTGGGAGGATTTTGACAAGTTATCGTGCGATCTTCTCCAAAAGTTTCCTGACACCGACACGCAAATTACTATTAAACTGGAACAAGGAATGGCTGCCCTTTATACTAGTAGAAACGATTTCGAGAGCGCTCGTCATGTCTTTGATGAATCTTTCAAATTAATATCACAAGCAAAAAATGAAGAACTTCTAGCTGGCAGAGGCTACGGTTATCTTGCGGGAATCGCGAGGCGACAAAAGAATTTGGGCGAGGCCACTAGTTTTATGCAGCTTGCGGAGCAAAACAGCCATAAGTGCAGTCACGCACTTCTCGATAGAAGCTACATCGCTTACGAGAAGGCTAGCGTTTTGCTCGATTTTATCGGACTTGCTCCTCATAAAAGTCTTCAACAAGTGAAAGAGGCTCTGGATAATCTTAAAAGGTGCATAGATCTGTGTAATCAACTGGAAAAGGATGATAATGATCTCCACATACAAAGACACCACTTCGCCTTCATTAAAATTGCAATGCTGTTGCTCGACTGTGGAACGGATGCCGCGCGCGAACGCGTTCTTAGCGAGGATTTGATCGCAGAAGGTGAAGAGTATTTGATGACACTGAAAACCAAGTACTGGACAGAGGTCGCTGAAAGTGTTGAGATTCAGTTTTATCTAGCCAGCTCCGATCTAGAATATCGTAAAAGAAACTATCTGGAGGCAGAGAGGTTCGCTAATTTAGCGAAGGACAAGGCGGAAAATTTCGGATTCAATACAGAAATTTCTCAGGCAGAAAAACGTCTAGGTCACATCCGTGTTGTCGCAAACATTGGAAGGAATGGAAACGATTCACGACTCTTTACACCAACATCCGTAGCCGCGAGTGAAGGAGATGATGGTGACATCAGTTGGTCAGCATCAGAATCTGATTGGTTGCAGAATTTAGACTAGGACCACGCCATATTTCCAACCATTTGCTGACATCGGAGCAATTTTTCATAAAGTTATACTAACGCTGCCTCCCCGTTGTCCTCTGCTCGTGGGTCCAGAAAAGAGAGACGGAGGGAGCAGAGTGGGATATATTATTATTTTTAGAAGGGAATTTGTTACAAAATACTGAACTATTAATAGTTGACATTACAGCTGCCCCCGCTCTATATGTTGTAGGACAATTGTATTCTTGATCATTGTGAAGCTCTTTGAAATGTTTCAATTCATAGTGAAGGTTTTCACATTTATTCCATACCATAGGTGAGATAAAAACAGGAAAATCGTTTTGTTTGTTTGTGGGCTGAGTCTTCAAAGACAGAGACAGTGTGTCTGGCAAATTGTTTCCAATCATAGATTTGTGAATGATAAAGTTTTGTCCGGCAAGTGTTTACATCAGTTATACGCACCCTATAACTTCATCCGCGCTTAACGAGTGCCTTTTGGTCCATGATAACTTTTAAAACAGCTGCTTCACAGAATGTCACTGATAACACGCAACGCAAAAGAGTACCGAAGTATGACTGTACAATAAATGTGAGCGGTCCATTTGGGGATTTTCTTTTTTACGTCATCCTAACCATTTCGTACTTGCGGGCGTAAACAATAGAAACGTCATCATTACCTAACGATTCCATGCGGCTCCAGATCAAGCAAGTCAAGATTTTTTTTGGCATACTGACTGTATATTTTAACTGTAAGTGATAGGCGGGGGCCACTAGGATGCCCCCACGGGATTTCGCCTTCTTGGCGAAATCCCTGCGGGGAAATTAAGCTTAGCCTGCCATCTCAGCTGAAGGGTCTGCAACGAGTACAAAGTGTGTGTTACGGCAGAGTCAGACACCTCCATAAGACGGACACCTCGCTAAAACGAACAGCTAGAGTTGGTCAATGCCTTTCTTTACTCTTTTGATTGGCTCTTTATAAGACCGACACCTCAATTAAAAGGACACCTAGAGTTGGTCCCTGCCTTTCCTTACTAATTTTAGCTGACTCCCTATAAGACGGGCACCTCGCTAAAACGGACACCTAGAGTTGGTTCCTGCCTTTCTTTACTCCTTTTGGTTGAGTCTCTATACGATGGACACCTCGCTAACGGACACCTTGAGTTGGCTCCTGCCCGGTTTTACTCTTTTGATTGACTCTTTATAAGACGGACACCTCAATAAAACGGACACCTAGAGTTTGTCCCTGCCTTTCTTCACTCTTTTAATTGACTATTTATAAGACGGCCACCTCAATAAAATGGACACCTAGAGTTGGTCCCTGCCTTTCTTTACTCTTTTGATTGACTCTTTATAAGACGGACACCTCAATAAAATGGACACCTAGAGTTGGTCCCTGCCTTTCTTCACTCTTTTAATTGACTATTTATAAGACGGCCACCTCAATAAAACGGACACCTAGAGTTTGTCCCTGCCTTTCTTCACTCTTTTAATTGACTATTTATAAGACGGACACCTCAATAAAATGGACACCTAGAGTTGGTCCCTGCCTTTCTTTACTCTTTTGATTGACTCTTTATAAGACGGCACCTCAATAAAACGGACACATTGTGCGAGTCCCAAAGGTGTACGTCTTTAAAAGAGAGAGTTGACTGTAAAGCCCCCAAACAAAATGGCGCTGGCAGACCCTGATCTGAAATTCCAATGGGATTACTTCACACTTAGTCTGTACAAAGACGTTGTGTTATTTTTCTTTTCGATAATCGGCGAGCGCTTGAGCAAAGCTAGCTTGCCAGAGCGAGCGCGAGAGGGTAACGGTCAATACATTCCCCGCTGTTTTTATTCACCTTTATTTTTATCACCCTCGCGCTCGACGGACTTTGAAGAGAAAAATAGAGGGTCTTTGAACAGGCTATTTCGCACTAGGTGGCTTCTACTTAAAGATTAATCCAACTCATCAATTCGAAAGAATCGGAATCCTCGATAAATAGGTCGTTTAGAGAACAACAAACTTGCAAGATAATTTACTGAGCCTTATAAGCCGGAATGTTCTTTCCATCAGTGATTTGGTCCGGGTCACGATGGTGATAATCAGATGGGATATTTTTGATCTTGGTACAATCATTTTTGGAGGACTCTGTACTGTCATCTTAGGAAAAGTGCCAAGATTGGGTTGCGTAAATGATCAAATTCTGGGCAAACATGCCTCTCCGAAACTGGTTACCATAGAATCATCACGTATGAACAAAAATCGATCATATAAAAATGCTTCCAAATTAATTCTAGTAAACATCACGGGGTTAGATGGAAACTGAAGTCAACTTCAGTAATATGAACTTTTAAAGTCCGACTGTGTATCTTTTCATTTCATAACAGAACACCACGGTAACACCCAAAATATGAAGTTTAGGGCTCTTGCATAACAGGAAAACTGAGATGAACTGGTCCTCTTTAAACTTAAAAAGACTTTCATTTTCGTAGTCGTTTTGATCGTTGCCACTGGTAGAAACAACTAAGATTCGTTCATCTATCGGCCGGAATAAAAAGAACAAACTGCCAAAAAAAAAAATAAAAAAATTAAGCTAAATCTTCAGGCTGGTTTGATGCAACCAACGAACAAAACCATGATACAGTATAGGGTTTTGAAAAAAGATGATGACCACATCAAGCCGGGGAATTCCCTTCACCTCACCAGACAGTCTCGCTACTCTGAACACGTGCACTGAAAGTTCTTTTAAAACCACACATACATGATTACATTGAACATTTCAGAGCTGCGATTGGATCTACACTTCTATAGATCTACAAAAAATTTACAGACTAAACTTACTTTTATTTTGTCGTAAGTAACGTAGATTTATTCACTAAAATTATGGATATTCTTTGCCAAAGTTGTATAAACCATGATGAAGACTTGGTTGGCTATCCAGATGATGATCGAGGTGAAAACATCGAAAGTGAAAGAGCGCAAAACAACTACAGCCGGGAAGACAGCGGTTATGTTTTGAACGTCAACGCTCCATGCATGCAAATCGGTAGACAAAACGACATAAGTTTTGGTTCAGTGGATAAAACTTCTGACAGCAAAGTAAATGAAAGCGATGAAAGTGGTCCCGTGCTGACAGAGTTTTGGAGACCAGCTGGCAAATTGGGCGTCGGTCGCAGTAGAATTGGTTTTCCAGATTGTAAATACGATCACTTGGTTCAACTGTTCGTCCGCAAGAATAAGTACACGAGAGAAGCTCTTGACATCACAGATGATTACAAAATAACCATTACGGTAACTTACCATGAAGCCAATGATAGCAGCTTTCAAATGCCCGATTATCAGTGTAAACGCCTCAAAACTGAAACCCAATGTGGTGTAAACCGATCAATGGTGGGTGTTGTTGGCTTCCTGTTTCGTTTTCACGAGCCTAACACAAAATACAAGATCACCTGCACGTTGCTTACAACTCCACCAAAAAGGGGAGGAAAAACTAATATTGCTAGAGAAACTGACGCTTGTAAAAAACTTAGTGAAATTTCAGTCGTTTTAGAAACAGGAGAAAGATCAAAATGGAAAACAGTTAAGCCCAGGCAGAAGACCGAACTGAGTAAGGTTTCACTGTCATTTGCATTGGGACAAGCTTCTTTGTCCAAGATGAACACAGAACTGTGTAAGAGATCCGCTTGGGTGATTAATCAGCTACAGGCGCTTCGTAATGATGGAAAGTGGGAAGATTTCGACAAATTTTCGGGCGATCTTCTTCTTAAATATCCTGATACCGACACGCAAATTACTATTAAAATGGAACAGGGCTTGGCAGCTCTATATAGAAACAAAGTCGCAAGCGCTCTTGAGTTTCTTGATGAATCTTTCAAGTTAATGCCACAGGCCAAGAACGTAGAACTTTTAGCTGGTAGATACTACGGTTATCGCGCGGGAATCGCTAGGCGAAAAAAGAATTTAGGTGAAGCCGCGACATTCATGCAACTTGCGCAAAAGAACACTATTGCTTGTCACACGCACCTAGACTTCATTAGCTACATCGCCTACGAGAAGGCCACTGTTTTGCTCGATTTCATTGGACTCGCACCTCAGAAAAGCCTTCAACGAGTGAGAGAGGCTCTGGATAATCTTGAAAGGAGCATAGATCTGTGTATGCAGCTGGAAAGGGATGATCACGATCTTCGCATACAAAGGCACCACTTCGCCTTCATCAAAATTGCAATGTTGTCGCTCGACTGTCGAACGGATGCTGCGCGCGAACGCATTCTTACCGAGGAATTTTTAGCAAAAGGCCAGGACTGTCTAAACACACTGAAAACCAAGTACTGGTCAGAGATCGCCGAGGGTGTTAAGATTCAGTTCTATCTGGCTAGCTCCGATCTAGAATACCGTAAAGGCAACTTTGTGGAGGCAGAGAGGTTCGCTAGTTTAGCGAAGGACATGGCGGAAGATTTCGGATTCAATACGGAGACTACTCTCGCCCAAGAACGTCTATATCACATCCGTGTTTGGACTGGAAATGATTCACGGCTATTTACGCTACCATCCGAAGGCGAGAGTGAAGGAGGGAAAGGTGACATCGGTTCGACAGCATCAGAATCTGATTGGCTGCAGAGTTTAGACTAGTACTACGTCATATTGGACAAATGTGCATTCATTTGTTGGCTGTGTCAGATGCCTGGGTTGACTTCAGCTAATCTTAAATAAGTGTGATATAGATGTCTTCGCTACTCAGACACTTCTAGTTAGGAATAGCAGATGCTAGTGAATTTAGTTTTGTACACCGCGCATGACGACTTCTGGTTATTGAAAACCCCAAATTGTAGACAATGACGTCATGAAGAAGCAGGGGAATTCCCTCCTTAAGCACAGCGAACATAGATATTAAAAATTTATCAGCTTTCGAAACTCAATTTACATACTGTAAAACTGCTTTGGAAGCTAAAAAAACTGCCCGTAGGCCATTTTTAGCCTTCCAGTGATAGAAAACTGAAAATAGTCACTTCATGTGAGTTATTTTTGTCGCGCGTTTAAAATGGCTACCAAAAGTGGAAACATGGAACAAGGAAGAAATTTTTTCGGGCGTTCTCAGGATGACCAGAATAACATCACTGGCGGAATGGGTAGCGAAAGTGTGGAAAAGTATTCTTTGGGGGCGTTTGTCTTGAGTGTCGATGCTCGAATCATGCAAGTCGGTAGACAAAACGACATAAGTTTTGGTTCAGTGGATAAACCTTCTGACAGCGAAGTAAATGAAAGCGATGAAAGTGGCCCCGTGCTGACTGAGTATTGGAGACCAACTGGCAAATTGAGCGTCGGTCGCAGTAGAAGTGGTTTCCCTGATTGTAAATACGATCATTTGGTTCAACTGTTGGTCAGTAAAAATAAGGACACGAGAGAAGCTCTTGACATCACAAATAATTACAAAATAAACATGACGGTAACTTACAATGGAACCAATGATGGCAGCTTTCAAATGCCCGATTATCAGTGTAAACGCCTCAAAACTCAAACCCGATGTGGTGTGAAGCGATCAATGGTGGGGGTTGTTGGCTTCCTGTTTCGTTTTCACGAGCCTAACACAAAATACAAGATCATCTTTACCCTCCTTACGGCGCCATCGAAAAGGGGAGGGAAAAGGAATGTTACCAGAGAAAGTGACGCTTGTAAAAAACTCAGCGAAATTTCAATCATGTTAGAAACGGGAGAAAAATCAAAATGGAGATCAGTTAAGCCCAGTGAAAAGACGGAAGTGCGCAAAATACCACCTTTATTTGCATTGGAACCAGCTTCTTTGTCCAAGACGAGTGCTGAACTGGTTGAACGATCCGTTTCGGTGGTGAATCAACTACAGTCGCTCCGCAATGATGGAAAGTGGGACGATTTTGACAAATTATCGAGCGATCTTCTCCTTAAATGGTCTGACATCGACTCGCAAATTATAATTAAACTGGAACAGAGCGTGGGAGCTCTTTACAGAAAAGATTTTGAAGGCTCTCTAAAGTTTATCGACGAATCATTTGAGTTGATCCCACACGCCATAAACGTACCGTTTTTAGCTGGCAGAGGCTATGGCTACCGTGCAGGGGTCGCGAGAAGACAGAAGAATTTAGGCGAGGCTGTTAGCCTTTTGCATCTGGCCGAGCAAAACAATCGTGCGTGTCCCATAAACCTCGACACGAGCAACATCGCATACGAGAAGGCAAGTGTTCTTCTCGATTTCATTGGTCTCTCACCCCAGAAAAGTCTTAAACAAGTGAGAGAAGCTTTGGGTAATCTTGAAAAGTGCATAGATGTCTGCATGAAAATGGAAATAGAAGACAACGACCTTAGTCGCTTCGCGTTCATCAAAATTGCCATGCTGTTGCTTGATTGTCGAACGGATGCCTCTCGCGAACGAGTTCTTAGCGACGAGTTCATAAAGAAAAGCCAAGAATGTTTAGTCAGGTTGCAGGAAGCCAAATACTGGTCAGAGATCGCCGAGGGAGCTAAGGTTCAGTTTTACCTGGCTAGCTCCGATCTTGAATATCGTAGAGGGAACTTTGTGGAGGCAGAGACGTTTGCTTGTTTAGCGAGGGACATGGCGGAAGATTTGGGTTTTACTACCGAGATTTCTCTGGCGCAGGAACGTCTCGATCACTCTCGTGTTATTGCAATCGGCGGAAGGACTGGAAACGACTTCCGGCCATTTACATCATCATTTGTCAGCGCGAGTGAAGGAGAAAATGGTGACGTCAGCTCATCAGGATCAGAATCTGATTGGCTGAAGAGTTTAGAGTAACAAGACATTTTGGTTTCTGCTGGGAGATACTTTTAATTTTGAAGATACAGATGTGCGTCTAAGTTCATTTAAAATATTTTAGCGCGACTGACATTGTTCTCTTAAAGCAGCTTTGGTGATTTAGACCTCGGTCATTAGTTGGTGGCTATAACTTACAATAATATGTTTTCAAAACAAGAAATTTGGTGCAAGCCAGTGCTCCGATAGCTGATTTTATTCTTCACATTTATGTAAGTGATTAGATGTCAAAAAGTAGCGATTTTTTTAAAACATCCAGCTATAACAAGTTGCGATAAAACATTTCTTAAAAACATTTTAAGAAATTTTTTAAAACGTTAAATAATACGACGACGTTTCGACGTTCTCGGACGTCATGATCAAATAAAAAATAAAATTGCGTATGAATGTTCTATAAATACAAGAAAAAAAACATAGGTCATTAAAAAGAAAAGTAACATAAAAATATATTACAAGTTAAACAAAGAGTTTCGCGCTAATGGACTGGAGTCACTCTGAGTATTAAGACTAGGCCTAAGTTTTCTTTGATGAATAATATCTCGTAAATGAGGCTGTCTGAATTTCGGTGGCACTTCTTAAGAGCGCAAAATTGACCCTCATTCGGAAGTTTTTTGTCACCGTGAGCTTCTAAAAATTAAAATGCTCTCCGATAGCCGAATATTTGTATGCGGAAGGCACTGATATAGGTGTCGGGCTGGGTAGCCGACAGATCTTGAGTCGTTTATTCACACACCGCGAAAATCATGTTGAAAGTTTTCTGATGTTCAGAATGTAAACTTAGCTACCTAAAGCGGGTTTACAGAGATACTTCTGACATTTGTTTCTTTTCAACTTTAGAACACGCTGGGGTAATACCGCGACTTCTATATTTTGTTAAGAGCTAATTTTCTGAGCTAAATTTTCAAACTTAAGCTAATGAACTAAGAGGAAAAGAAAGAAATTAAACAATACATTAATAAAACAAAGAAACCCTCCTGAATATGTTACGGTTTAGTTTTATCCTCGGTTAAGATTTTCAGTTATTCACCTTAATTTGTTGCAAACTCATTATCATCATACATTACCATACTCAAAAACAAAGGAAATAAAATTTAAAACAAGGTTAAAATTAAGCCACATTATATACGCTTAACAGTTTGATGCCATTAAATTTATTCTCCCTTTTCTTCGAAGTAAGCTTATTGTAGATCATTTTAAAGTCGTCGTGTCATGAGTGGGGCTAATATTGTATGCATTTAGTTCCTGAAAGGTTCTGTAAGTATTGACAATTGATTTTAAAAAATACCGCATCGGAAGCTAAAACGCTCAACATTATAACTTCGCTTTCTCCACTAAATTTCATCTTTTTTATCAGTTGACTTTTTTATGCAAAAAGCGGAAGACTAAGTGGAATAAAATATATCACTGACCTACAGAGACAGAACTTCCATTCGAAGGAGGAAAAATACTAAAACACGGGTAATAAATAAAACGCAAATTTGTTACTGTGAATGTGCCTACATGTCTTAATTAGAAAGCAGCGAGAAAAAGGCACGTCTTATTAGCCTGTATCTGATGTACAATGTGCGTCTAATTTTCCCTCTAGAATCTGTTTTATCCGATTTATCAATAGCATTGAAGAGCATTTACGAGAGATTTTTAATTTTTCAATATTAATGCGGACACCGCAGTCTTTCAAACTTTAAGGGCATACGTCGAATGCCGATTTACAGTAGCGAAATGACACGTTAAAACTTCAATTGCTTAAGTCAAGAATCGTTATCATATCACACGTGTTACAAAACTGTAAATCTAACTGTTTATTCATACGCGATCACACAGCCATAATTAATACAGTAATGCAGTGCTTAAACAGCTGTAAAAACTGAGCTCATGGCACAAAGCGATTGGCTTTTTTTATCAGTCCAATAGCATTTTACCACTTATACCGAAAAGAATATGACCAAGAAGGCCTTACATTTTCAGACATATTTTTAAGAAGTTTAGCTTAGCTTTCTGCAGCGACAAAAACTTCAAAACCAGCTACAATATCCACCTAATTGTCTCCCGGCCTTAAAACCAGTACAGTGAGCATTTTTACCATGGCGTTATTGTGCACGATAGCATTTGTACTTCAGTTAAGTTTTAATTCACTGGTTTTTGCGGAAGTTCATCCTCACAAAGACGATTTTCATAAACACGAGCATTTTGGCGCAAACCAACAACACGACGTACGATACGATCACGAAGCTTTCCTCGGTCCCGATGCCGAGAAATTCGAGAAACTGACGCCCGAAGAATCTAAACGGAGGCTTAAAACTATTGTCACGAAGCTGATCGACACCAACAGAGACGGCCTAGTTTCGCCCGATGAGCTGTCGATATGGATTGAAAAGCAAAGGAAGGCTTTTATGTACGAAGATGTGGATAAAAGAATCGCGAAGGAAGACACAGATGGCGATGGTGAGATTACATGGCTTGAGTATGCTAAATCGGAATACGGAGAATGGTACGATCCCGAGAGACTTCCAAAAGACCACGTAAGTTTATAAATGCAGTCCGTTTAAACCTGATGAACATAAATGAATCGCTCTTTCAAAGCGAATTCTCAGTATTTTCCACGCTTAGTTAACAATTTACCAATCAACCTTTAATAGTGTGCACCATTCAGAAGGTTACAATACCGTATGTATAGAAGGTTTGATTACCTCTAATTTCAGGAGCCAGTTTTATCCTCAACGGTAATTAAAGTTATTCTGCACGTTTAAGTATTTATATCATCACTAATCGGTCTTCTTTTATTGTTCAGTTGAATGGCTACTTGATGAAGCGATATGCTTAAAAATGTAATGAAATATTTTTAAGTTCAGGAAAGTCTGCTTTTTGTTAGTTAATCGATATAAAAAGACACGCGTTTACTTAAGAAAATGCTTTAAAAACAGCTTTTATATGAAATAAATCGAGTGTAATGAAAGGAAATTTCAAGCAATAGACACAAGTAAAAAAATCCTGATTATAACTAAAAACAGGTGTAACAATAACACAGTAATAAAACATAAACAAAGCAATGAAAAACTTCGGACTCGGAGCAGCTTGGAAATCAAATGAATCATTTCAGCATCTTTTACTTTCAATTGACTGCTTTGAGGTTCTTCTTTTATTAAAGATATGCTGTGACTAAATGAGCGTGGAAAAACAAATTAAGTCGAATTAAAGAAATATTTTACGATCCGCACAGACACTCATAAACATTAAAATACGCAGACTTATCAGAAAACTGAGCATAAAAACTATAAACATTTCCACAAGATTTGAACCTATGACTTACGTTGCCGGTACGACACTATACCAGCATCTTAAATTCATTAACTGATTATCAATTACGGCACAGGATTTGAAACACTAGGGAGTTTAAGCAGCGACGTTTTCGAGCGACGCGCGTCAACCGGAAGTGGAGTTTTTGCACTCTTCGACCGTGATTTTGAACAAAGTTATGGAGAAATCGTCTCTTTAAGAATAAAGACACTTAGCCATACAAATTTGGTAGCATCATGGCATATTTAAAGAGAAAAAGGCTCACTTCCGGTTGACGTGCGTCGCTCAAAAACGTCGCTGATCAAACTCCCTTCTGGGTGCCAGAGACTTTCCATGTGCAGTTTCCGGTTTCGGCTTCGCCGCTCGTGGGTTCGGCCTTTCGCCGAAGATGTGACGACTTGCGTATGCCGGGCCAACCCGGAAGCACGCCGCTCACACGCGTTACGTGAGCTAAAACCGAACCCAAGGTAAAGATTTGACAGAGAACAGAGAATTCAATATTGTCTTTTTGTCTTTCATTCAGAGTTTACGCCGCCAAATCCGTAAAAAGCAGTACAAGTTCGGCATGGCAGACGCAGACAAAAACGGCAAGATGAACCGAGATGAATACGTGGACTTTGAACATCCAGAGGAAAACAAGAAGATGGAAGAAATCGCCTTAGATGAAGTTATAGAAGATGTAGATCAAAATGGAGACGGGTAAGATAGATCTTCAGAAATTTTCTTTTATATAAATTTGATGTCAAACAAGATAAAAGTATTGATCACAATGATCAACATATTTTCGGATCTTAGTCGGAAAACGTTGAATCTTCGGAAGACTTCGGATAGAAATCTTCTCAAACACATGTAGCTGTCAACTATTGGAAAATCATTCAGATTATTCCCGCAACTAGCAAGTATTTTAAATCACGTGAATAGCCTAAGTGTAAGCAATAAAATCCTTTAGAAGACTTCTAATAATAGGCCATTGGCCATCTCCAAGTTCCAAAACCCTCACCTTTAAAATGAGGCCAAATTCAAAACCTTTCTTGTGTAATCTTGTGATATGACCAGTACTTTACGCATGCATACAACTACATCACTCCGACAGTGGCATAATGGCCTATTTCCAATGCGGCAAAGTTCATTTACCATGAATTATCTTCTATTAATATCACTAACTGATGTTTTAGTCAGAGCTATTTTCGTATGAAGCATGAATACAACGATCAACGCAAAACTAATCTACTTAACATGGTAACTTATATATCGACTAGACAACGCCTCCGTGTGCATTTTAACTATTAAAAACAATGCATGTGTTCATTCTACAGGGTGATAAGCGTTGCTGAATTCCTCGGCCAGTACCACGACGCCACGAACCCACCGGCCTGGGTGACACGCCAGCGTGAAGAATTCCACAAAAAATTCGACTTAAACAAAGATGGTAAGATGGACCGAGAGGAAGCGAGAGCCTGGGTACTACCCGAAAGAGATGACTCGCACGATGAAACAGCACATTTGATGGACGGAACAGACGAGAATGCAGACGGCTTTCTATCTGTGGATGAAATACTACTTCACTGGAATCTATTTGTTGGAAGCCTGGCTACCGATCACGGTCAAACCTTAAAGAAAGTGAAGCCGCATGCGGAATTGTAGTGTGATTTTATAACGTAGTGTTTTAAAAGCTTCTTTAATGTTTCTCCTTTACGAGTAATATTTTTCTTTGATTTAGAGTTTGCTTAATACAGTAGACACCTTGGTGTAGTCAACCAATCAGAAACAACTAGGACTTTTGTTGGCCTGCAAGAAAAGCGAGATCGGGGGGAAGTGGGGGTGGGCAGGGAGTAGGCGGCTGCCACTTGGGGTTCTTTTCCATGTATATTACTTTTCGCTGGGGCTACGAATATTATTCGTTATACCGAGGACTTTGTTACAGAGTTTTCTTATATCGAGGTTCTACTGTACCCCTATAGCACTTAACACTTAAATTTCTTGGCCCTTGTAGCACTAGGGACAATAACATGGCAAACTCAAATTTAATTCAAGGTTAAAACAGTAAACACCAAAGTTTTTTTTTCGACATTAAACGTTACTTTTTAACCTTTTATAGCTTTAAGGAGAGAGATCTCCGAGAAGAAAATTCCTTTGCTCCTAAAGGGACTCTTCTGCTCCACACGGGCCCTCACATTTTTTATTGTTGCTGTTGTTGTTTTATTTTCATTAATGAATACCTGTTCTGCTCGAAACAAATTGATTCCCATCAGGCAACTAAAACACAATACTACCGGTTTCACTTCACATTACTTAAGAAAGAATCAAGCGCGATTTTTTTTTCGTAAGCGAGAATACTGTAGAGCTTTCTAACACAAAATCAGATCAATGAAGAAGTAACTTTTAATACTCAATATACTCAAGAACCTTTCTATCTATATATTTAGCTTAAATGCAGTTTAGGACAGTCGACAAAATTTTTCATGCTTAGTTAGTCTATGGCTTATATGTTCAGGTTATTTTTCCATTCAAAAATAAAGTATGGTGTAACTTTGTGGAGTTCATCAATAAATTATGACGTTCAATTCATGGTCTATTTTCCAGTGAATGAAAAATGGGATCAAACGCAGACTTAGAACGGGTATAAATAAAACTTGTGTCCCAAACGACCCCTCGCGTGCTCAAAAGAACTTTAATGCAGTCTACGCATGATACCTGAGGTTCGGGAGAACAGGACAAACAGATTCGATGTCTAAAACCGATGAAAGGAAACGTACTACATTATACAGTTTTTCAGACACCAACTAAGCTTGATGGAATAAGTCGGAATAATACATTAATATGTAACTTTGATTACAGCTAACCGTTTTGGATTCACATTCGAAATTCTTTTCGAAATCAAACATTTTTTCTAAAAGAGTTTACAGGTTTTACGTGCTATCACTAATCTGCGACATAAACAACTGTCGAACTTTGTATCTCTTGTGCATGGCAATATCGTCAAACCGCTGAGCATAAATTCTGTAAATCTCATTTCGCCTCTCCCTAGTGTCGTTGATTGACAGCCTTGGCTCCTCCTCCACAGGCCTTCGGTTACAAGATGCTGTCATGCCACCCTGTACTTTGACCTTTCCCGCCTTTTTTTCGTCGGGGCGCGCTTTCTCGGGTGACTTGTTCGGATTTTTGCCACTAATTATCGGAAGTTTTGTACCGGGTGCAGACTGTAGTATTCAAAAGGAGAGAAACTAGTTTAAAATCACCGCAATTTCTTGGATAGCTTAGCGCTTATCTAGTGCTAGTATTCTAGAAAGCCAAGTTCTTTTCCAGAGTAAACCAAAGCCATTATTGTCATTTAGTCATTCAAATCTCAACAGCCCTAGATGGGCAACTCGATAAAAATGGGAAACAAGATTGTTCCCTTCCAACTCCAGCGGATAAGCCAGACCTTGACGACGCTTGAATGGGAGGGAAGGGGGGGGGGGGGGGGGGGGGACCTCCCCACTTTTCTCAGGGGGGGGGTAATTGCATACGCGGGAACCAGAGAAAATAGGGACGGGGCTTAACTTTTCAACGACAAAAACAAAACTATTTTTTTATTTTCCTATACAACCAATAAAGTGGGAGAGAGGAGAAAGAGAAAAAAAGAGGAAACCAGGCGTTTTCCCTCGCACCGCGGGGGGAGGGGGGGGGGGGGGGGGGGGGGGGGGGGGGGGGGGGGGGGGGGGGGGGGGGAGGGTGAACTCCCCATGTTTCTCTAGTGAGGAGTTAATTCATACGCAGGAACGCAAGAAAATAGTGACGGTGCTTAAATATTGTTTTAATATTGCAAAGGATACGTACCTGGGCTCGAAGCAGCTCAGCATGCCAATAATTTGATCTTGTCACGTGACCAGCGAATTCCTTATTGATTCCCTCTAATCTGTAAAACAATTTTTATTATATAGCAACTTCTTTTTTTATAGACCAAGGGTCTATTAGCTTCAATACCCTAAACTGACATAAAAATTGGCTTTTAAAATCACTTTTTTACGTTTTTGAAAGTACCACAACTCGGTTAGCTAACTTCGTCGCAGACGTAATCTAACCCCGACATTCCAATTTCCTTTTAACTTGATTGGCTAATCGAACAATGGAATGCAATTAAATAGAACTGAATACTATTTGGAGTGCGTATTTTGTTTTTTTTTTTATATAGACACTGCCCACCTAAACTAGCCTTTGCTATTTGTGAGCAGTGAGAAAATAAAATTATAAATTTGGATTAACCAATAAAAATGAATGAATGAACGAATGAATGGAGTTTTGAACAGGCTGATCATGGTGCGTATTCAAATCGTGGAACAATGATTTTGACGCTGGCTTTCAAACAAACTTAGACAGCAGTTTCGTCTGTGAAGTAGCCTAAATTCGTTTTTGTCACACTGTGAACCTAATTGCTTGTAAATGGACTAAAGTCGCTCGAATGGCTTTTACTCATGACACACGGGACTAAGTTTAAACTCACTCTCTAGCAAGTGCCATTTTCAGTTCGTCCTCATTGTTATCAGCTCTTCTGGACATCCAGGGGATCTTCATTACGATCTACAACAACAACAACAACAAAAATAAATTCGCTCCAGACAGAAAACAGAGCGAGAAACTATACTTCAAGATAGCCAAGCCTTTAACGCTGGAAAAAATACCACACCGATTGCCAAGCTATTTGAACCTAAGCTCTCAGAAAATTTGATTTCAATGCATTGAAGCGACAAAAAAACTGTCATTCTTCGGAAGCGGGGCTAAAGCGACTGACTGAATATTGTCCATAAATTTAGAATGAAGAACTGGATTAAGTAAGAAGAAAAAATAGGCAAAATACTTACTTGTTTGGACGGCGTGAGCTGAGGTGAGAGGGAGGTCAGTTTTGTAGAACGTCTATCCGTTGATCGACTCTGCAAAATAAAACACAGATCTACTAAGCTGCTAATAGATAACACTTTTAACTCTACCATTAGAGCCCAACACGGATTGTTGATGAGGTTAGTGAGTATGGTTCAAAGAGCGATTAAAGTTGCGAGGATTATGGAGATTTGGAATGATCGCCTTTATGACAAAATAAAAAGGTAATTATACCATGGACCTCTTTCATAATAGAGGCCCATTTATTTGTTCTTTCTTATGTATATAATGAGCCTTTCTGGACTTTTGTATTTCGCACATGCTAATGAGGACAGAAAGGCTAATTGTCATACATATAAAATAACAAATTAATGGGCACCCATTAGGTCTATGTGTTAGGAGATCACCCGACCATCAGTAATCGGCTCCTGGCTCCGGTATGTGATGCCCACATATTAACAACCTCATTTTAAAGCCAAAAACTCCTTTCCATGCTTTATGTAAAAGAAATAGTACATGCGTACATGCATACAGCATACACTTGTAAATGCAAATAAACGAAAGTGAGAGAGAAGCGAAGCGGTAGACTCAGAAGTGACTTAAGGCTCTCCTAAGCGCATCTCTTTAGGCTGCTAAAAGGACTGAAAACAGCTCTTATTACCTCGCGAGACGAAGACAACGTCCGTAATTTTCCCCTTTCGATGTAGTCTAAAAGAAAGAAAAAAAACAAAAATTTAAGAATAAAGATGTAGGGGTTTTACATCCCCGTTTCCAGGGTGTACTCCTACGAGTAGCGACGAGTAGGACATAGCTGCGAGCGTAGACGTATATCCAGTCGTCGCTCCTCTCTTTTTCGGGTGAAGAGAAAGCGACGACCGGAAATACCTCTGTGTTCGCGGGCTAAGTAGGAGAGGACCCTACCGGTCAAAAGCTATTTTGAGTCTACTCACCAAGCATAGTTGAGATTATCAGGAGACTGGATTTAAGCAAGATCTGATTTGCCTCGGTCTTGTTAAATAGTAGTGACTGACCAACTTCATAGAAACCAAGTGATGTGAGATAGCGCTGAAGCTCAGGGTTAAACCACAGTGAACGCAGAACAAAATCGCTCGTCCTCATTATTCTCTCGGGATAACGACAACTGAGGCTCAACTAAAAAATGAGGCAAGAAATGCGTGAGAGGAACCATAGAAACAGCCGACATTTCGCGACGCCAGCATTTATTCCTCGCAAAAAGACGTCTGAGAAACGAACGCAGAAATTCCATACTGATGACAGGTTACTACCCGGGGTGCTTCTGATTGGTTGAAGCGAATTTTCCACGCGGCACCGACGACCAATCAGAAGCACCACCCAGATCTGGGTAGTGATATGTCATCAGTCGTTCCTGAGACCTCATTTCGTGAGGAAACCAGTGATGGCGTCGTGAAATGTAGGCTGTTTTTTTCAAGCTAGCACAAGAGAGGCACCTCCATTCATAGAAAAAAAAATACCGCTACTAAACTGGTAAAGAGATACCAATTCTGTGTTTTCACTCACGTAGCCAGCATCTATGCAAATTTATTGGAACAAAAGAAAGCGTTTACATGAGGAAAGAGTTCAACTCCCACAGGACTGGTTTGGGACACAAAACATGGCCGCCGTTTCATTGTTTTGGGACACAAATATGGCCGCCATGACGTCATGTGAAAACACACAATAGAACGGGGTCATCAACGGGAAAAACGGTAGGGAGGAAATCATCAAAGAAGGGTTTTATTTGCCTTTATAACATTGGCTCTCGAGAAAACAACAACTGAGAGAAAACGATAGGCGGTGTAAAAGTCAGGTGATTATAATTAGCTTCAATAAGGTTCCTGCCGCAAGGTAGTCAGAGAAATATATTATCAAAAAACATCCTGTAAAGAGAAAATCAGAGAGAGTAGCTTTCAGCTGGAAAGTGGAAATATCTTGTCAGGAATAAACACAAATGTAAGGGATGCACTTACAAATTCTCTAAGTTTTTCCATTGTGTTTTTCTTTAACGTCCGTAACACCTTAGCTAAGGTGTAACCTCCACTTGACGACACCTTTAAAATATCTGCAAGGAAATTTTGGCACAACCACAAGGGCGTTACGACAAAAACTGTAGAAGCAGGAGGTAAACTAGATTATTAGCTGATTTCTAAGAATTTCTTGACCGTTCTTTACCTTGCGTTCAGTAGCCTGCGTGGCATTCGCCATTTGCACATCTCCCATAAAATGACCTGTTTGCCCCCTTAAAATTTTGCATATTTTTTGTTTTTAATATCTCCTGGGTATTACAGTCGTCCCTTATGCAATTATTTTTCTGGGGGGGGGGGCAAAAAAGGGATTATGTGAGATGTACAAATGGCGAATTCCGCTCTTTTTGGGTGGCTAGATCATTAAAGCCACCGAAAATCCCAGAGATCAAACAATTTCCAGTTTTCTGACCTTTACCCTATTATATTACAAGGCTTGTAAAAAATGAGAAAAGAAGCAATCGCGTCACAGGGTACTCACGAATCTTAAGATAGCCAAGTTAGTGCTAAATCAAGAACGTAGGGGAATTGCTACACCCTCCTCCTTCAACCTGCACGGGATGCCAGTCCGTCACTGGTTTTCCCCCAGCACTACGTTTGCGGTATCCATTGATACACTAGGGCGGGGGGAACTGTCTATCGTGTGTAAGGAAACAATGCGATGTTCAACCGAGTTCCAGAATTGAACTCCTAACGTATAACTAACCCATCCCGCTCTATCTTACCGCAAACGGCCTGTAACACTTGCGAAGACATCGCCAGAAATCCGTCAGGGTCCCAGTGCGGAAAAACAACAAACGGATCTTTGTCACGCGCACCGTCTTTTTGAAAGTCAAATCCAAGGAAGCCCAAGAACTCATTGGCGTCAGGGGCCTCCAGCGCAGAGGAACTCAGCTGAGCACACATGGTAAAGCTCTCGGTTAAAAGGAGCTCAGGATGTTGGTAGGATAATAGCATTTGATGAGCCAGCTGCACCTTTATCAAATGAAGTAAAAAGGACTGATTTTAGGAGGCGAAACTTTGAAGGGAAGGCGCCCCCTTAACTTCATGTGTCACTTTTCGGTTTGGTATAAACGGTGTTGTCGTTCACTTCATAGGCCTTTCTTTTACTATAGCCAGTCCGCATACAAAGTAAAGGAAAGTTATCAGCCTCGTACCCAGGCCAGTTCGCGCTATCCGAGTTACCAGAGGAGGCTTGGAACCGAGTGCGATAGCGAATTTTCCCGACAAGCAAGACAGGTGACGTCACATTCGAGATCACCGAGGGCGACTGGGAACGGGACTGAAAAGTTATAAATAAAAGGAAGAACGAACGAAATAAAAATAAAAAATGCTGAGGAGAAAGGCGAAAACAGGGAAAACCAATGCTCTTGTGACCTCCATTTCGTTTTTCCTTCCTTATTTAAACACCCAACTTCGCACTAAATACTAGAAATTTAAGGTTCTGATCGCTTTAGTGTCAGAGGTGGTTCATTTTAGGTTATGAACGTATCCTGGTTGAAAATCTAAACATAAATGTCTACATTTGATTTCTTTCTTCTTTACATTTGAAACCAAAATTCATTATGCGTCCTCTTCCAATGAAGAAAAATTACCGGACATCCTGGGAGATGCAGAGGAAGCTTGCCAAGATGGAATCATGGATATTCACCGGTTAAATCGCTATGTCAAATTTTACGATTCTTTTTTTTTTTTTAAATAACATTTATTTGGTTACAACACTTCTACTGACAATACTTACATTTACATAGAGGGAAAATAAAAACAACGTCCAAGAGATAAAGGAAAAATAATTTTACGATTCTTACCGAGCAACTTCCAGGAGCTTTTGAATCCCTTTCTGATTGGCTATCAAATATTGTCCAACCAATCATTCAAATGCTTTTAGAACTGGCCAAGGATGAGTAAGTCCCTAGGAAATCTCCCTTCTCGTAACCTTTATCGGTGGCAATTAAGCCCGTTAAATATCCCGTATCAGTTGTCTGCCCCGGGTTATTTATCTAAGGATGGTGAGAGCCTTACCACGTCTCTAATAGCGGGCAGCACGTGGGGGAAGGAGCCATGATGTAACAGCAGCTGAGTCAGCAGTTCTTGAAATCGTTTCATCTTGAACGTTACTGAAGGAACTGAGAGGAGAGAGGCAACGTTCGACCATGTTATTTAAATTATTTTTAATGATAATTTGTAAGGGTGCGTTTGCTTGAGCGTTTTCAGGAACAAGAATACGCAAACATTTGGTTACAAATCTCTACTACCGTCATTTTAGGACATTTAAACTCGACATACATACGAGTATTTTATTTCAAGTAGATTTATAGGTATTGCAATATGCAATAGTGAACGGCATTGAATGCCACTGAGTCTTTTCGACATTGTCTTACTTTGGAATACGGTCAATAGAACACGTCCTAAGTCACTATTCATCCAAATATCAACCTCATAGTTATGGCTTGAGTGAAATTAGCCTGCAGAAAAGGCGCTATTTTTTCGCACGTTTTTCAGGCGAGCACGAAGCGGTCGTGTAGATAGAGACAAGCGCGATGGGAGTAATGCGAGAAGGGGAACAAAGAGGATTCATTCTCCTTTATATTTCACCCTCGCTAGCAAAACAGGCGCTATTTTCCCGCGTCCTTCCCCGACACGCGTGTCTCGCGCTTCACGTTCGCATCGTGCTCGCTCGCCTGAAAAACGCTCGAAAATAGAGCGCCTCAGTTCTGAACAATAACTCTTTGTTTCCCCCGACCAAATACTATGTCCTTGATATTCATTTAAACACCTAAGCGAAGACAATGCGAATTGTGCAAAGTTTTTCGTCTTAGCAAACAACGAGATAACGAACCTAGCCATATTACATCGTCCGAAGTCGGATACAACTTAAGAACGTGTTTGACTCTAGAAAAAGACGGTTTTGCAAAAAACGTTCATGTTTAGCACTAACCTTTATTATCCAGTGTTTCTGATGTCACAAGGGGAAATCTTTCAGGTGAAGAACTCTGCACCACTCGATCCAGTTCCTTATCAAACAGCTGATGTCGTAACTTCATCAAATTGACTGTGGTATCAAATCCAACGTGAACAAAGGAAGCCCAGAAGCTTGGGAACGACATGTGCTCCACATCCTTCACTTGAGTCCAGGCCTCTTTGAGAGAATCACTGACAGTTTTACCCTGACAAAAAGAACCACACCTTAAAGTGCCTTTATAAAGGTCTCACGTATTGAAAAAGCGGCACGTCATGTTTTTGGCTGTAAAACAAAACACCACCACTTCGTCGCTAAGACAACGTTTCTCAGCCCAAATAAAAATTCAGCTACCTGTTAATAAGAAATATCAATTTGTTTACGGCCTACAACTACATCTTCTTGTCAGCCAACTCGTGTACGCAACAACAACAGACTAACAATAAAACTGTGGATTTCCTATTAAAATTGCCCTGATACAAACTCGCGGCATTCGGAATTTGAAATCATTGAACTCTTCATAAATAAGCCCATTTAACGGTTTCAATTGTCTTTTCTAGTTGTTAATGGTTATCGTTATGACAGGGTTTATACGCATAAAATCATGTGGCCCTTCAAAATGACTGAAGAATTGACGGTGAGCGGTCGTTTCGCTAACGTCCCGTTCGCCAACATCTTATGTCGTTCCGCTGAGAAGCGAAACGAGCATGTACATGCTTCGTTCCCTCAGCCAAGATACAAAAAAAAGCGATACGCATGCACATACCTTGTTCTCTCAGTTACTGATCAGGCGAAAGCAGTTAGGGAACCGACCCAACTTGACGCTGACGAAACGACTCGTAGGAGAAACGACAGTAAACCGAATTGGCCTATCATTTTAGATGAATCTCAGTTACTGATCAGGCGAAAGCAGTTAGGGAACCGACCCAACTTGACGCTGACGAAACGACTCGTAGGAGAAACGACAGTAAACCGAATTGGCCTATCATTTTAGATGAAAAGGAAATACACCTTCTACTTTATGCATCAGAGACCTTCCGCTGAGTGCGAGCGTAATTCAGTGATTATTTTGGTCTTGTGCTTTCAAGTCCTATGCGATTGGTTACTGAATTTCGCGCCTTTCTCCCAGATAGTCAGTAAAATCTAAGGTCTTTTCGCCAAGCGGTTTCCCGCGCTAGCCTGCCTCGAAATCTGATTGGTTCACTGGATCGACTGCCTCGGGTGTTATTGGCCAGATTAATTACATTGGTCTCAATTTCACAATACTAGATGAAAAGGCTCTGTTGCGAGACAAATATTTATCGGAGTACACTTCATGTACGTACCATTTCCAAACCTGAATAAAACTTGTAAAACAGGTTTAGAAGTGCGTCCTGAGGAACAGACCATAACGGCATCACCACGGACTGCACACCAGCGGCCAGGAAAGCCATCGCTAAATGGAAGCTGGCGTGTTTCAGCTGACAGTACTGATGGTCACACCCACAACAAGCATTCAACACTATCAACTTTGCCGAGAGTTTGAGCAAAGCTATATCTGAGACAGTGACCAAGAAGGATTCGGCCGGTGGAGGGTTGCTCGGGTGATGAGGCTCAGGAGACATTGCTACGCATGCGTCATACCAACTTCCGTACGTTACCAAATGAACGACAGATGCTTCAGGCAACTTCTTGAGGAGATGCTCCTTGGTTGCTTGGTAACCGCTGATCGGGTCCACGCCTAAAAGCGAGGCAATCGTGTTGAGTTCCTCTTCTGCTAAATCTGTCTCCTTTGTTGGCCTCCAGATTTTGCCATTTAAGTCCACCGTAGAGATTTCTGGATTGCCCTGCACCAGAATTTTGGGAGAATCTTGGCTGTCATTAGATGATTCTTCAGAGGTCTTCCGTTGCTGAGAAATCAACCTGACGCAAGGCAGAATCCGTACACTGAACACTTCATGCATGTATTGACCCTCTTGGTTTTGTAAGCAAGGAAAAGGAACTGAATTAACCTCTTGGTCAGGAATTACAACCAGTTCATCAGTGCCGATCGTTCTAAGTTCTTCCTCAAGAGGATTTAAAAGAAGATGATAAAGCTTCTGAAGGGGTGTTAGCTTTGACGAGTAAAGAAACTCACATGAGTAACAGGATTTTTTAGTCTTATCTGTATTTTCTGTTTCTAATTGCTTTTTCGTTGCTTCATCCGGCAACGCTCGATGGTCACAATTGTAGCTTTCTTGACAGCCACCGTGAAGTTCCTCAATGCACGACTTGATTTTGTTCGCAAAGGTGCAGTGGTCACAATCCTTCTGCCAGTGACATTTGACAATGCCTTTTCCAGGCGACAGCATCCATACAAGAAAACCAGAAGGAATAACAGAGAAGAACAATACTGATGATTTCTGATTGTTAACAATGTTAATAATATCGTCGGCTGAGTAGGGGACGACTTGTCGGCCAGGCGATGCCACACAATCGGCTAAAATGTTCGTATGTCTAACAATATTTACAAGAATTCGAGATCTAACATGTTCGACAATTTCTAGAGCTTCACCTTCAAAGTTCATTTCAATCAACACTTCTTGCAAGTCTTTGTAGCACTGATCCAGTTTTGTTAACAATGGATCTCTGTAAGTTAAGCTTTTTCCGTGCTTCGAAAGTAGTTTTTCTTCGAGGACTGGAATCGCTTTGTTAAAGTGCTGACGCGAAGTTTCAAAATTTCGCATTGTTTTTGTGATTTGTGCAAGAGCGAGCTGACACTCAAGCTCTTCTTCCAAGTCATTTTGTTCCACGGCCAGCTTCAGACATGTTTCGTAGTAATACTGAGAGTGATGAAGCTGACGCAGTTCTCTGTAACACGCGCTAAGAAGGCTATACGCTTTACACAGTAGCTCATCCAGCTTGTTGACCTTCACCAGTTGAAGATGCTGTTCAAAATAACCAACAGCTTTGGTGAACTCTCCCTTCAGTTTATGCAGACACCCAAAGTTTCTCACTGCTATAAGTTCTGAGACTTTATCGTTCAAACGCTGTGCGAGCTTTAGATGTTGTTCGTGATTAATGGCAGCTGATTTAAAGTTTCCCATGTAGGCATAAACTGTGCCTATATTACCATAAGCGTAGGCTGCCCCTTGGCGATCGTCAAACTTCTTGCACAGTTGCAGCTCAGTTTTATGACATTCCAATGACTTTTCATAGTTGCCTTGTAAGAGCTCTAGTTCTCCTAAATTTGAATATGCTGTAGTAAGATTCTCTTGGTCAATGAATTTCACGACCTCCATGTACTCTTGAGCATGTTCTAAAGCTTTCTCGTAGTTTCCCATGAGTTTATAAGCTGCACACAAGTTCCAAACTGCTCTCCGCTCAAGATCACTGTTCCAGTAATCAAGATGCTCTTCCATACTTTCGTCGTTATTTTGAAGATCCCTTCCAACTGCTAACAGCTTTCCATTGTAAGAAACAGCTTGGGTATACTGTGCAAGCCTATGATAGACATTGGCTAGTTTTACATAGCACTTAACCTCATATTCTTTGTCCTTTAGGTCTAATGCCATAGAAAGACATCGTCTAGCAACAGACAAAGCTTCTCTATACTGAAACAACGAGTAGTAAGATTCACTGATGAAAAGAAGAGACATCATCACTGTCCTTTTATCCTGCGATGATTTGTGCCCGTCCTGGATATCACCCTTTATATTTTCATCATTGCTATGGTCTCCAGTTGCATAATAGATGGATGAAAACCCAGTCACAGGATCAGGAAGCCCGGATGATTGTAGTTCATCAGCAACATGATGGCGACTCGAAGCAGGTTCATCTGTTACCTGTTCTAACGTTGATCTTTTGCGCAGGTTGTCCGCACTTGCTTCAGAGTACATCAGTTGGTCCATATCTTTTCCATAATGCGCTTTTAATGCAGTGGAGATGACGTCAATGCAGATTTTGTAATTACCAGTTTCGTAAAGCCTTTTGCCAACTTGTACAAACCTCTCAAATTTATGAGAATCGACATCTGAAATTTACAATCAACAGAGACTAAGCAGTTAAGAGTTTGAAAAGAAAAAAAAACTTGCCAAGTGTACATACTGCCAAATAGGCCATGCATGGGATCACAGCAAAAGATTTCATATTTGACACATACTACATCAGCAGTGCAGATGTATTTCTCAGAAAGCAAGCACATGTTTGATTCTTTAAGTAGAGGAAGATTAGCGGGAATAGAAATTCTGATAAATAGCAGGGACCTTAAGGCTGAAAAAATGACTTGAGGAAAGAGCAAGGTGTTTCCTTGCCCACCTGCTTCACTAAATTCTTTACCCCTCTTTGACTTGCTAATGACATGATTCAAGATAATCTAGTCACTTCATACTCCCAGACAATACCTTCATTGCATACAGACTAAAAATAAACCTAACCTACTTGACTATGAGCACCTTGTCACCTTGCCGTGATGATGACATTTGCATCTCTTATAAATCACGAGAACTACACTAGTGGGGGCTTTAACCCCAGTGGTTCTAACCCTGCTGGATTGATCAAGGATGAGAGGTCAGACTGAAGATGATCTCCGGCACTCCGGATTGGGGGTTTGGCATGAGGCTTATGACCCCTCACTCTCAAAAAAACAATTATAAACTATGAAAACAGGAAATAACCGAACATTTTTAAAATGTTTGGACAACGATGATTTCTAGCTCTGTTTTGTGCTTGGGGAGAAGGATCTGATAATGTATCAGGGGCAGATTTAGATCGTCAAGTAAGTTGGTGGTAGGAGGAGCTCATCCAGGCCCTAACATAAGGGGGAGGCTAGCCTCTAAAAATACATTTTCTCGGCCATGCAGGCTTCATCTTGGCCAAGAAATAAGGTGGGGGCCTGGACACAGCTCAACCAGAACCCCATCAGCCCCTCCTCCACATCCAACACCACTCATCTCTGAAAAATACCTATTGGACTGATGGTGTTACTGGGTACCTCAGGCAATTCTAGAATTAAACTTTAACACAGAAATAAACTCATGAGTGCAATGTTAATCTCACCTTCATGTGCCAAAGATAGCTCCTCTATTTCTGACATTTGACAGATGCATCCAACAGCTTGGATAATCCTCAGCAAAAGCTCTGTGGGGTGGGCTGTGTCCAGTTCATAGGCTTTCAGATATGACCTTAAACATTCACGATAGTTTCCCAGATTTTCAAGTGCTGCAGCTCTCAAAAAGTGTCCCTGTTTACCAAATGCATTCAAATAACAACTCTTTGGACTAACTGAAACAGCACATATTAAAATAAAGCAACATCTACTCTTGGCAAGACAGGTATAGAAGGACTGTAAGTTGCTGACACCATATAAAATTTATTTTTAGAAGGAACCACAATTTACATAAATGACTATGATTTTCAAAAGCAGACTCGCAGTAATTTGTCTTTGGTGTCTTTTATTAAGAGCTTTGAGGTTTGATATTATCGAGAACTATTTTCGAATTTACTGTAGTTATAATCAATGACTGTTGGTACAGGGGGAAAAAATTAAACAACGCAAAGAAAAGAAAGATTCTTTTACTTATACTGAGAACAGCAACGAGTTGAGACAACATGTTGTAGAAATATAATCATATAGATCATCAAAAATGTGTGAAATAACAAGTTGTGACAATATGTTGTACATGTACATGTTGGACCATTGTTGTAGGTCACGATCTTTTTTATCATTCTATAGATTGCTTACAATGTATGAATAGAAAAACAGCAACTCAAAGAAAGTTGTTTTGAAATAAAAATATCCCACATGAAAGTTCTTTTATCACCAGATAATGTTCTTATTCTCTGAACAGTTTGCATGACCAGAGTCTTCACTTACAATAGGATATAGCTGCTATAATATAGTACCCTAAACCTGGAGCCAATAATAACTTAACAAAAAGCACTTACTTTTGGTTTTTGCGGAATGACGCTTATGAGGCTTTCAGCATCTTTCTTAGAGTCATTAAACATGCCTAACTTGGCATAGACTGCTGACCGACAGCCAAGGACATCTTCATCTTTGGGTGAAAGAAGCAAAGCATCAGAGTAAAAACTGATGGCTTGAAGGTACTCCTCATTTTCAAAAGCCTTGTCACCCTTGGTCCAAAGTGCTTTAAACTACAAAACAGAGTGGGTACATTACAATAAACATTCTTATTCTCATTCCACAAAGTGGTCGCTAATGTGAGGTGGTCACCTACAGGAAAAGTCAAGAAAATAAACTCAAACTGAACTGATGAATGTAATTATATCAAAGTTATTACCTAACAAGCTAAAATTAGATAAATAGACAACTGGCAATGATGTTTCACATCGAAAAGAATAGTATCGAAACGACCGGCTTACTAGCAACATGCATTGCATACTGAACAAAAAATTGAGCAAGTGAAAGAAAGCCTCTGCTGCCTGGGTGAAAACAAACAAGTTGTAACATCATAACTAATAAACAGGTGAAAACAACACAAAAGAAAATACATGATTATGGTGGGAGTAAATAAACTTAAAGAATCGCTGTGCTGGCTGGCCTTTACTGGGCAAGTTACAGTGTCTCGATGAATTTTTAAAATGTGTTTTATTTTGGCACCATGATTTTGGTTCGAGATTCTGCACAACAAATACAGGCTACATTATCTGACTGTAAGAGTCAACAGTCAAGTCAAAAAATGCGACTTACCTTTTCCATGGCTTGTTAAAACAAACTATTCGAGGACTCGACTAAAATTAACGTTGAGGAATACTCCAAATATAAAGCTATCGACCTGCTAAAGGGTCCACAAACAAACTCGCAAAACAGGACCCACTTGCATTCAAATCCCTACAGGAAAATTGAACCTAATTTATAAAAAAAACTCTGATCATTTCCGAGAATTAAAAGACAACATTTCCACCTACAATCACGTAAACTCCAAATTAAATATGCTTGTTTACAAGTGTGACTTGCTCCGCCATGTTGGTTTGCTTAGCAACCAGCCTAATTGGTACGCAGATTTCTCCAGTCTTCTCTCTGCATATAACGCCTTGCAAGTTTAGCCTTTTGGCTGTTCACAGGCGATAAATATTTTATAACGACCCTTTTTTGTTTTATTTCTAAGCATTTTCACCAGAAAAAGTATATCTAGCTTACACTGAGTTCAATCTTACGCCTGAGGAATTTTATGACCAAAATAACACCTTCTTTGGCTTTTACAAAACGACTGAAATATTCGTCGTGATTGATCACAGCTATGGCAGCGAATTTGATCCAAGTGTTCACTTTGATTTGTCTTAGTTTCTTTTGCTTCATCAGCAGCGAGGAACTTACGACCGTCAACGAACTAATTGACTTTCAGAAGTGGTTTGAAGATCAAGGGGGAAAGTGTAGATGTAAGTTCACAAAAAGAGACAACAAGTTGCTTGCTGTTGCGGACAGACAGATTGTGGAGAAAGAATCGATATTAATGGCGCCTCAGTCTTTACTTGTGAACTCGACGACTGTTGAAAGGTACTGGAGTAACTATAATCATAAAAAAAAAGAAATAATTTTATATTTGTCGACCAAAGTGAACCTTCTTTTAACTCAGACTTCCCTTTAATCCTGAGTGTGTATAAAATGCGACCCTTGCGAGTCATGGCAGCAAGCCATGCAGTCCATTGAAGACTCATTGAAAAAAATCTAAAAAAAAAATCGAAAACAGTAATACGGAAAACATTAACTAAAAGCTAATTGTTGTAAATAAGTGTTTAACCTTAAACACCGCTTAACCCTAGCCCTAAACCTAATCAGTATAATGAGTGCTCAACTCCTAATCGCATTACGGAATCGCGCCTGTAGATACGCGTCGCTAGTAAATGTAAATTTTTCTGTCAATCAAATGTGTCCTATTATTTGTAGGTGGAAATTGGTAAAACATCGTTATTGTTTTGGAGACAATAGAAGAACAAAAGATAACAGAAAGATCAAGTTATGCGGTCTTAAAGCGTGTTGCGTGACTTAAATCAGTTGGAGCATTTCTCCTAGCTTTCCCGCATTAAAACGTTGGAATGAAAAGTCTGAAGCTTAGCTTTTAAAATCTTGATAGCCAAAATAAAAGGGGTGCCCCAAAAGGCAAGCATTTGGGAATTCAAAATCGATATTTTTGTCTCCAGCGAAATCCGGCGGATGAACAGTAATTTGCACATAAGCGTAAGTGAAGTGAAATAGATACAAATTGCCGTGGTTGTAAACACAACGTTTCCTGGAAGTTTTTTTCCTTTTGAAAGCGTAAATTCGCATGAAAGAGCTCAGCTTGCACAAAATAATATAAAATGAAACGAATCAAATCGAAAAGTGTTTAAAAAAAAGTCAGGATATTTCAATTCGATGGAAAGTAAGTGATTGGGTAGGTGATTTGCATACTGATAAAAATAACGTCTAGCTCAGTTCAAAACCGTTCGGCTTCCTGAATTGTTTTCCTGGAATTCTATACATTCTGCTGGCCTAAATCGTTAAAATATGTTATGAAGTCAAAATATTTATCAAGTTGAGCATTTGCATTTCCTTATGAAACAGAGAGTAGCGCGAAAGCTTGGATCTATAGATTTTCTTATTTAAATTACCTTTGTATCGTGTAAACAATACCCTAACACTTGAGTCTTGAATCAAAGGACGCGACATGCGTCGGCTCCCTTTGTGAGCGCGCAAATAGTCATGGGACCCGCGATTTTGCGGGCGACACGGATCTACAGGCGCCGTTCCGTTATGTGTAAGTTTGCAGTTTTTGCTTTATAATTTTACCGATGGCTCACGTGACTCACATGGCTTGCTCTGTTTAGTCAGTATAAAGTGATAACAGTATCCACTTGTTAGTTTGGGTCATAAAGCTTCCTCAAGAAAAAAACACTTTTTTCTGACAAAATTGAAGAAAATTATGAATTGTGGATTGGTAAGAGGCCATTATTGAAACTCCCAATTAAAAATGTTTCATTTGTTTTCAACACTAAAAGTACTGTACTTACAGTAGCAACTATAGTAGTTGCCATTGAAAGCTTCTGAACAATACTTTGTTAGGGTGTTTTTTTCTCTACTGGAATGCGTTAACAGTTTTTTAAGAAGTTTTGTCCTAATGGTGTTGTTTTAGGACTAGTATTTACAGGTTAACCCAAATATAGTTTTCTTTTCCCTCCAGGTCAACGTTAGGACCAACACTGGAACAGATATCCCTTACAGATGATCAAATCCTTAAGCAGCAAGATCATACACGACAACAGGCAATGCACTTGATGCAACTGGCTGTGTTTGTGCTTTATTCTATTCACATAAAAAGTGAACAGTGGCTTCCCTTTTTCAAGATTGTTATGAATAAAAAATGTGATCCACTTTGGATGTGGAGAGAAGATGAATTGAAGGACCTTCAGGATGAAAAGTTAATCAAAAGAGTTTTTGTGTGGAAGGAAGTAGTCTCCCAGCTTGCCGCTAATATTGCCCCAAAGCTGAATAGCTTTGGCTTGTTTGCTGGCAGTGACATTGAACCGGAAACCTTGGTAGGACTTTTAACATACTCTACTTTATTCAAGTGTCAAGTGGCTAATGTAGTTTGAATATCTATTTATCAAATGAAAACCATTTTTTTTTTTCAGGTGCATACTGTGTGTGCAGTTCAGTCAAGTAGTATTAATGTCACAAGTGACACAGGACACCCAGTCAGGACCTTAGTACCAGTAAGTTTATACCTACATCTGCGAATAAATATGTTATTGATGAATACTATCAATCATGGCACAATTATTGGGCCCTGAAGTAGCTTGCGAGTAAGCTCTCCATTTCGAGTTCAGAGCAAGTAGCGTTGGCTAACCCTGACAATAAAGGTAGCCTATGGGGTACATGAATGCATTTCCCAAAGGACTGTGCAGAGTATGTACAGTTTCTTGCAAGGAGCCAACAAATTGACAACTGTTATACAGTGTTCTCACTAGAATTTTGTGATTTGTGGCCTAGTCACCCCAGGCCTTGAAGTGTCAGGGCCATTTAAAACAAATAAAGGGTCACAAGAGTTCACTCAGTTTAAAGTTTCCAACGGAAATCTGTGCAATACTACAAACACTGGAATAAAATCAAACGTTTTAACTAAATATAGTTGTATGTAATTGCACTCAAGAAAAAAAAAACAGTAAGCAATTATTGCTAATTAAAACAAACTTGTAGTCCTGCACAGAGAAGTAAAAAATTTAATTGCCTATTTACAACCAAAGTAAGCCTGTTAACGACCAAAATTGACTTTTAAATAATTTGCTAGAGTTCTGTGCCCTGAGGGCTCTTGAGGACTTTTTAAATGGACCATTTCACTAAAAATTATGTGAATCCCACAATGGCACAGTCTGGTGAGAACACTGATTATATACTGAGATAAATAATTACTGTCACTTTGTTAGCTTCTAATGCTGTCAACATGAGAGATATTTGATGAGATGATGAGATGAGATATCTGAATGGAAAGAGACAATGTTTAGACTATGAGCCATGTCAATTTTTTCTCTTTACAAGAGAAAAAGGCATTAGAATAAGAGGATAATGAAATCTTTTTTTGCCCCTCTCACACGTTGCCATATTATTCTCTAGCTTGCTTTAATTGATTGTATAATGAAAAATGGAGCTGTTTTGATGTACACAATATTGGACTTATGTTTCTTAAAAGGAAACAACTCATGGCTTTGCATATTTGTGGGGTTTTTTATGCACATTTCCATGTCCAAGTTTATAGGACTTTTTAAAGTTAGAAGACTTTTTTGTTTGCTTGTTAAAAATCTTTCTTGTTGTTGTTGCTCTTTTTGTTTTTAAGTGACATTGTATTAAACTGATGCACCAAAATCTTGAAATTCTTGTGTATAGAGTAGCAGAACATAACACCTCTTTTTTTAAATCGCGAAATGCCGATGGTAATAGTTTAACTGTACACATGTACTAACTTGCCTCATTCTTCGGGTCAGTAGCACTAATTTGTGACTTGGCATGTTTTTCTACATTTCAGGGCCTAAACTTGTTCACATATCAGCCCAGTATTGCCGGCACGTGGTGGATCAAGGGTGGTGCTCTGCGGTACAGATATATCAACAGCACTGTACAAGAGGGAGATACAATCTTCATAGATTTTAACCCGAAAGGGGACAGCGTACAAACACTCTTTGAGTATGGCGTGTTTGCTTCAGAGGGAAGCAAATTCTTCAGTCCTTTGCCAGAGCTTAACAGTCGAATGCGCAGAAGATTAGCCGAGATGTTAAAACTCAAGAAACGAGTGAAATACAGTGACAAATTCACATTTAAAGCTGCCGGTCTTCCCAGCTTTAGAGTCCAAGCGCTATCAGACAAAGATGTAGATAAGTTAGTGAGGATAGGCAGCAACGAAAAGAAATTATTCGAGTTAAAGAAGGTATTTAACAGCCCCTCGCTTCACATTCAGAGCAATTCTCTTTACTCTTGCAAAGACGAAGTGGTTGCCTTGAATTTGCTGTCGTTGCATCTGCGAGATGAATTGTCTGGTAAATCTACGGGGATGCCCGAGGATGAAGAATTTCTTACTCAAGATATTCCTGAAAGGCAACGCACAGCTGTCGAGTTTAGGCTTAAGTTTAAACGGCTAGTTACAAATTATCTTGATATAACTAGCGCCCGAGCAATAGAGACTAAAAGGGAATGTTTGTCACGAAAAAGAGACGAACTTTAACGTCACCTCCCAAGATAGTTTTTCAGAGGAATGCAACAATCTTAAACATAACTGAAGTCAAATTAGATGGAGTTTCAAAAAACAACGACGGCGACGGCAGCGAAAACGTTACTGATAAGATGAAATTCTGTCAAACTTGACCGTGATTATTTCGATCCAAATTACTGAGCTTGTCACGTATAATGGGGGCGAATTTTTCTCGAGTTCAATTGGTAACGCCGCATGGAAGTTTACAGTTCGGTAGCTTTGGATTTCTCCGGGGGTTTTGGAGGCCATCCAGCTGCCCATTTATATAGTATTAGTTCGAGGTGTCCAAATCTAAAAAGCCTCTATACAGGTTATAGGAAAATGAACAGCTACAAATGCACTAACTTAAATAAACGATGTGGCCATATAAAACAGATAAAACCTTCAACAGCTCCGTGCTTCAAAGCATTCCGTGAAGCCAGGTCAGGATGCAACCAAATAATATTTAAATTTTATAATAGCTATTTATTTATTAATAAACCCTGACTTTACCTACATTTGTGCTGTGTGAGCAACTTTTTTTTCCCAGGCTTCTCTATATCTTTTTCTATAAAGTTGGTGAGCGTTCGTGAAGACCTACAATTGCAAATTCCAATCCCCTTCTATTCCCCCCCCTCTCCTCCATCCTTGGGCTAGGGGTCTCCACTCCCCGGGGACAAAGCAGGGTGAGGGGGACGAACTTTGCGTTTTCCCTGTCACTAACAATAAAGGAGCTACAACTCTTAAGGTACGGAAAACGGGCAACAAAAGACGTGCAACTTGTCTTGCAACATTGCTGCAAAACGAGTTGAATAGCGATGTTGCGCGTTTCACCACCCACATCAAACCTGTCTTACAACAAATCAGGTTGTTAACAGGTTTGAACATGGGTGGTAAAACGCACAACATCGCTATTCAACTTGTTTTGCAGCAATGTTGCAAGAAAAGTTGCACGTTTTTTGTTGCCCGTTTTTCCGTACCTTTAATATAAAGTTAGGTTTTTTTCTTCACACCAAAGAAATGTTAATTACTAACCGTCACAACAAACTACAGAAGGTTTACTCAGTTCTAAAGTAGCCTGATAGAGTGCATGTGTGACTGTTATCTACAGCGTAAGAAAACCTAGGTATTACGCGGTACCCTATTTACAAAGCTTTACAAGTTGATTTTCCTCTCATTAAAGCGTGAGACATATACTCTTTCTCATTGTACTCGCTTCTACAATTACACTGCAATTGCGCGCTTATCATACCGCGAGCTAGAGCGTTTAATTTCCTTCAATCGGAAAAAAGTATGTGGTATATAGCAGCACAAGTAACAACACCCATAGTCCCGGTCAGAAAAATCATGGCTGACATCCTAAAATACTTTTGGCCGTATCTTCATCTCTGATCTTGTGACAGAGATGTAGTCGTTTTTCCAGGAATACCACACCATACCTTGCTCATTAACTTGCCCATTAAGGTACTGAGCGTTTAGATTAGACCTATAGCAATTTTTGTACCACCAAGCACCATATTCCTTTACTGCACAGTTTTCGTTTGGACTTGCGTCATTATCGCGATCTTTTGTGGTAAATGGCTTGTAAGCATGGTAAGTGAAAGAATCACCTGCGGTTCCTGAAAGTTAATAGAAGAGGCTGGTTATGAAAGGCGGCAAACATCAAAGATAAAACCAACGGTGCAACATTTTTATGAGGCGTGCGTTGCAGTGCAAACCTTTTGGACGTTGAAACTGACAGAGATTTGGGGCGAGTCAAAACAAGGATTGACAGCTCAAAATAGAGGATGGGGTCGGTAGGAGAGAAAAAAAAAATACGACGTTTTTCCTTTTTTCTCCGCGCTTCTTCCCCGTGCCCGTCCCTTCTCCCTTTGCTTTTCAGTTGGGAGCTTAGGCAACAATGACGTCGACGGCTACGAAAACGTCACTTAAATAATAAAGTCGCATTGCTTCAAACTTTATCGCGCTTATTCCACCTCTGATTCGTCAAATGTTGGCAATTTTTTCTGGATTTGAATTCTCCAAAACATTTTTCAAAGTTCAGGAAAAGAAAAAGAAAGTCGTTGTCTTGTGTTCACATCCTTTACAAAACGTCAAAATAGGCATTTTCACGTGGTAGTCGTGCAGTGACTGCAAAGAAATGAACAAAAAAGCGTGATGTTCGTGAAAATTTGTTGTTTGGCCGATCTAAATCTGTTGCTTTTTGCCGTTCTCGTTGCCGTCACCGTCGTCGTTGCTTAAGCCGCCTATTAGTGATTTCACGATAGCGGCCGCGTCAGTGTACCTCTGGGTCGCACCCTCGTTAGAAAGAAAAAGAACTCCTGCTGGCTGCAGGCTACAGTTTATTTTGGAAGCTCCCTGATGGTGGACATTCCATTGATGTGTTTGTTGTTTACAACTTGCGAGTGAATACAAGATTAGTGCGACATTCGTAATAGTCAGTAAGATCAAAACGATAGAAACGCTAGCTAGCTATTGAACGTCGTAGACCGTCAGGTCCACAGTAACATGACTGTAACGGGTTTCATAACGACCCACTTTAATAACCATATGGCAGGATGAAGCAGACAAAAAAATCATTGACAAAGTGCTTTCGATTTAGCTTGCAAAACGATTTGACGTATTCATGCAGGTACAGATCACAATCAGCTGGGTTTCCGTCGGGTAGACTCCCCTCTTTTTTATTGCAATTTATGCCTCGTTTTCAGTTAATGAACTGTCAAAACGCAGTACTCTTTCTTT